AATGTATCTTATATAGTTATCCTTTTTTTAAATGATATAATTAACAAGAAATAATTATTGATAGAATATATTTATATTTGTGTTGTTATTTTATATATTAACTTGTTTAATCGGCATGCATCACTCATTATATATGCCTGTCCCTTTTTAGCTACAGGAACAGTATATTTCTGAAGTATTTTTTGAGTTATTTTTTAATGAAAAACTATTTTTGTGTCTTTTATAGGGTGTTTTATATATGCATTTAATTTAATATCAATTATTACACGGCTCTCTGAAATGCTTGATTCTAATTGGTCAATCCCAACATTCCAAGATATGTTATTTCCCAATAACAACTGGTAAAACTAAAAACACAAGCTCAATTGTTGGCTTCGAATCATCTTGACTGTTTATGAATATATCACACTGCTGTTCTTGGCACCATGTTGCGACTGAATAATAATACAAGTAGGTTGGTGTAGTGTCAATGTTTTGTATCTAATTGTTTACTTTTATGGCAAGTAGCCTTGAAATAAGTGGGATATTATATATCTAGCCGGTTGTTTTTGCAGAATAAAGCCCTTCAGTCTTATACGACTGCCCTCTGGTTTGCTGCTGATAAGCTCGTCAGGCTTTATAATGCAAGAACATCCGACTAGATGTACATTATCCCTTACTTTAAATAATGAATTTAGATTATGCAAAAAAAATATTAACACATAAAGTATCAAACCTAAGTGAGAATGGATTTTAAATAACCCCTGTAAAGGCTTAGCATGACTTTAAATTGCCCAATGGGCTTACATCATTGACATTTTGCAGTTCCTCTGTCTAAAGCATTGATTCAGAGACGTTTGTACACTGAATACAAATCAGCTGATGATTAAAACACAGGGTGCCGTCTTATCTCCACCGAGGTGATTAATTCATGCAAACACAATCCTCCCTCTGCACTTTTCTACTCTTTCTTTCAGTGTCTCTCATCTTTCTCCCTCTCATCTTTAAAAGAGCCCTTCTTTTGTGTCATCTGCGTTCTTCAAAGGGAGTTCCACACATACCAGCACCATGGGCTGAAGTTTCAGGACATAATTCCTAACAGGATACTCACTGTTCAACTTCGTTTCGGTTGTTTTGATGTTTCACTCACAGAAACTGGGAGTTTTTATCAAATGCTTATGACTGAGAACTTTGAAGTTTTTTTTTTTGTTTAGTCGAAGGATCCTTGCACGGTGTTTGTAAGTTTTGAATTTACAATGAAGGGGGTGTCTTTAGTAGATAAACCTACTTAAATCTATGTGTGGGGTTTAGGAACTGGTAGCCCACAATAATACTTGATTGGATTGATTCAGCCTGCTCCTGTTTACAACTGGCCCCTATGCAATCTGCCTGGTTTAATGGCCCCGTGTCCCAGAAGGCTTGTTGCATCCATGTAGGTTTTGTTCCTCAGGGCAGGAAAACAAAAGTGTCACGGTCTGAAAGTGCACACGGACCCCTGGGGAGCTGTGAAAAGCTGAGCATCCTCCGGCAGCCGTACCCGATCGGCTCTCACATTGCAGAACCTTCTGCTCGGGCAACCTGCTTGTAGAAGCATATAGTTGTTTCATGTGATAACAAATCTGTTTCTGCATATATTTGTGAAATATACACAAACAAACACATGCACAAATCTCCGAAAGAACCCTTAATAAATCCCAGGATGCCACAAAGGCTGTCAGCGCACTGCTGCTGAATAGATTAATAAGATTTCCATAATTAGGCAGGCCTCTGACAATAGGATCCCTCAGCTTTTGTCTCAGGACCAACGGGATTGTCAGGCCAGGAGGACGTCTGCTGGATGTGTTGTCCAACAATGGACACACAGACAGTAAGGCGACCAGTGGAAACATCTGTCTCCCTGCCAGCCACGGACCCGCATGGCGAACCACTCATCACGGCTCAAACAAAGCAATGGTCAGGAGCTCCCATGCGGACAATGAAGTTTTGTTTAAAGGGCCCTTCCTATCTTAATCCACCCAGCACTCGCCTGTTTACTCAAACCTCTTGTGTTAATGATGTTTGATTAAAACTGGTCCCGCGGCTATAGTTTAGGTACATGTGTGTGAGACACAAATCATTTTGAGGCAGAGCAGCATTTTTCACAGCATGTTGACATATACTACAAAACGTTTTTGTGATGGTGATAAATGTAAAAATATGCACACAGTTGAAGTCAGAATTTTTAGTCCTCCTGTTTATTTGTTTCTCTAATTTCTGTTTAACGGATAGATTTTTTCAACACATTTCATAACATACAGTTTTAATAACTCATTTCTAATAACTGAATTATTTTATCTTTGCCATGATGACAATAAATAATATTTTACAAGATATTTTTCAAGACTTCTTTACAGCTTAAAGTGACATTTAAAGGCTTAACTATGGTAATTAGGTTAACTAGGCAGGTTGGGGTAATTAGGCAAGTTATTATATAACGATAGTTTTTTCTGTAGACTATCAAAAAAATATAGCTTAAAGGGGAAAATAATTTTCACCTTAAAATGGTTTCTAAAAATTAAAAACTGCTTTTATTCTAGCCAAAATAAAACAAAAAAATATTATCAGACATACTGTGAAAATGTCCTTGCTCTGTTAAACATCATTTGGGAAATATTTTTTAAAAAGGGGGAGCTAATAATTCTGAGTTCAACTGTACTTCGGATGCGTATGATGCTATTTTAATCATCAGGAGATTTAAAACTAATCTTAATAAGAACATTTCTCTATGAGAACTCATCATCATTCTCTTAATTGGCATGTATAATAAACTATTCCTCAGCTTCATACTGTCATTTGTTCACAGAAATAGGCTGAAATGGTCATTCCCACTTCCCACAGTGTAATTGGACCATCTATTCTCAGATGCCTAGAATGAGTTAATCTCAGCAGCTGTGGTGATTTAAATAGAAACACAGATTAAATCACATCTATATTATTAGTCCCTGATGAGATCCGGCTCTAATTGCAGAGCAGCTCATTTGCAGTAGATTTCATGCACTTTTAGCTTGAAAGTTGGACACTGAGGTGAACAGTTCCTTTTGAAGCAACCTGACCCAAATATCACTCCCATTCCAAATTTGGACGCACTTTCACGTGTGTCTCGATGCACACACACACTCATGTATATTGATGGAGTGGACAGCAGTTTGACCGCCTGAATGACTTCCCAAATGTCAAGCCCCATCCTCTTACATAGACTTATGCGCGTGCATGCACATGCACACACGGTGTCCGGAGCGCCTGCTGTCCACTCCCCCTCCTCCTTTTCTACCCGTTGCAGGTTTTATGAGCTCCCCTGGGCTGCCATCCATCTCTGTCACACACTGGCCCCATTATTGTGCTCCATACAGCACTTCACAAACCAGCCTGCAGATGGGATTGTCCTGCCTACTGACTTTGACCAAATGATTTACCCATGGTCGTCTTATTTTTTACATTTCGGTGAGGATTGTTTTTGAGTTTTCGTTATATTCGAAATCACAACGAGTGCTATGTTAAACATGGGAAACTTGTGGGTCTAGATATATGAATATAAAGGACATGGTAATCCAGTGGCCATCTGGTCTGTTGGTGTGATCTTTAGGAATAAATAGCAGGCGTAATCTGAAGACACACATGGGAAGGTTTGGCCACGGGAGGGGCGAGAGTTTGAGAAACAGAAAGAGCACACAAAGGGGGAGGGACAAGTTTTTGGGAGAAAAAGAGTAAGGAGGAACATGGCATACAGGACTGAGGCGTGATTTAAATGCCAATAAAGCAGCAGCTTCGCAGTGTGAACAGAAGTGTGAATGAGTGATCATCACTTTCTCTTCAGATTGCACACTACAATGAAGATTTGCAGTTTATTTCTTTTACATCCTCATATCCCTTGTAGCCCTCACCCCAGGCCGATTCCTGACAGTTCAATAATGCTTAGCTATGTGTGGAATTTAGCTAATGCCTCTGGAAGGAGCAGTTGCAGACTCTCATGAATCGTCTGGTTTTAAAGCTCTTCTTTACGCTTTGAAATTCTCAAGAACAAGCAAAGAAAAATATTTCTTAATGAGGGATTAAAATATTATGGTTTATATCTACAAGTATGAATCATGCATGCTCTAAAAAAATATTTAGTTTTTTGCCCTTTATTAATTTGTTGATTCATTTTTAGAATGCTTAAAAAGTATGTTGAGTCTATAATTACGTCAAGTGTATTTCACATTTAAACGTTTAGAAAGAAGGAAATTGTTTAATGATAGAGAAGGGAGAGGGTGGGGACTAAAACCATTTTTGTTTATTTTTTTAAAGGTGTCTTTTCCATCTTTTATATGCATTAAGATCTCCTTTGCAACATTGGGCCAATAAAATCAATCATAAGAAAGCATTGCTGGAGATTGCTAGAGGAAAGGGCATTCCACACTCCATGTGCTTCATGGGAAGTGGTAAATGAATAGCACAACTATTTCATCCACTAGTCCCTACCCCCTTTTCCCCATATCGTTCACTCCCTCTCTCTCTCCCCCTCTGTTCCTTCTCTCTCTTTTCCTTACTCTGTCAAGCTGGCTACAGAGGCCTTTTAGAGTATTGCTTTGTGTATGGACTGTGGTGGTGGGAGGGGATGTATTGAGGGAAACATGCAGAGGGTGATAACACAGTTTCTCCTCTGGGAGAACTGCAGATGGCAACACAAGGCAGCAACAGGGCTGAGGGCTTGAAAAGAGCAAATTCACAGGCATTCTTTTTTTATACTTATGACAGAAAAAGAAAGGCTCCTTCTGTTTGTATGCATACAATGCCAAACGTGTCCTGTCATTAAGCAAAATGGCAACACAACTGAGCTCCACGATCACCAAAAGTTTTTAGTTGTTTTAACTAGTCTTAAAATGATTCAATGTGAAGAATTAATTTATTTAAAAAATCTTCCTCTATTTAACCCAAAACTGATTTGTGGATATTTTATATGCTTGATTTTCCTGAAAAATCTCACAAATTTCTGTCTCTTGCAGGCCTATTAAAGATGCACTGGAACCCGGAGCATGCCCAGCCCTTGAGCCAGTGGCCTGAGCAGCATTTGGATGTGTCCTCCACCACCTCATCCCCTGCACACAAGTCTGAGCTCTACTCTAGTCGTGGTCGTGGCTCCTACAGCTACGCATGGGCAAATGATGACATCTCAGCCCTTACCGCCTCTAACCTGCTGAAGCGATATGCTGAGAAATACTCAGGAATGCTAGACTCACCTTACGAACGCCCTAGTGTGGGTGCATACCCTGAGCCTGGAGCCTTCGGAGGCCTCAACGGAGGCCAGAAAAGTGAACTGGAACCATGGCCTCTTACGCACAGCACTGATGGGGCATATTCCTTGGTGCCTCCTTCCTCTCATGAAAGTCTATCAGGGCCAAAAGTGGTTCCCACATCAGCAGGCCCACCAGGCTCGGGCAATGTATCAGCAGTTAACAGCAACCTTTCAGACTCGGGCTACAGTGGTAGCAGCTCCTGCAGTGGGCCCCATTCCAGTGAATACCCCCCCAGTTACAATGGCACCTATCTCTCTTCAGGGTACTGTCCCCAACCCAGTTCAGCACTTCCACCAGCCTCGTTACATGCCCTTCAACCGAACCCTACACTTCTTCCCAGTTACACAACTACTGCCCCTGTGTACAACTACCCACCTAGCACCTACCCCCACCAGACTGGCCTTGCTCCTAGCTACACCCACCCAACAGCCCCCTACATCCCCTCTCCACTTCCCTCAAGACCCACAGTGGTTGGTGGCAGCTATGGCTATCAGAACAGCAGTGTAGGAGGCTCAGAGCCTGGGGGCTCCCTGAAGAGAAAAGCATTTGAGATGACTCTGGATGAGGAAGACAGTGACAGTTCACGCTATAGGAAATATAGCTATGACCCCATGAAAACTGGGGGAGATTCTCCATATGGGGTCACTGATAAAGCTGGAAATGGCTTTGGAACAGGTAGCACTGATCCTCAAGGCTTTAAACCTAGTAAACCTTCATCTCAGTCAAGCCTGGAAGGAGATGAGGTGGGAAAGTACAGTGGGCTAAAGCCCCTGGTTTCACCAACATACGGAGCCGCAGGGGACTACAGCCCCCCAGCAGCTATGACAGGAGAGAATGGAGGTGCGGAGCAGGGTTTCTCACAGAATCGTTCTCAGAAGCGCTCTGATCCCATGAAAAGCATAGAGCCCAGAATGCTGGAGCTAGTTAGCCGGGAACTGCAGGACTGCAGTCCAGCTATGCTTTGGACTGAACTGGCTGGGAACTGTCACATTAAAGCAGCATTAGAAGAGGACCTGCTGTGGCCTGTCCTGCGACCCAACCCTGCAATCCACCCACCAAAAACCATCCTGCTATTTGGCCCTCAAGGAGGGGGCAAAACCACACTAGCACGATCCTTGTCATCTCAAATAGGTGCCTCCTTCTATAGGCTGAGTTGTGCAACATTGGCCTCTAAATTGAAGGGAGAAGCAGAGCAGCTCTTGCTCACCCTGTTCTCAGTTGCAACTGCCAGACAACCCGCAATGGTGTTGCTTAGTGAGGTGGAAGCCATTGAGGAGGAAGGTCTCAGACAGCAACTGCAAGCTCAGCTGGAGAAGATACAACATAATCAGAGCAACCAGTTTCTGGTGGTGTGCACCACAAGACGGCCTGATTTGATCAAAGATTCCCTTCTGCGCTGTTTTTCCAAGCGTTATCACATAGGCCTGCCAGATGGGAACACACGCAGACACGTGCTTCTGCAGGCGCTGGCGCCCCAGGGCTGCAGTCTCAGCGAAAGGGAGTTGTCAGCAGTACTGCAGCGTTCAGAAGGCTTCTCTGTCTGGGAGCTGCTGCAGCTTTGCCAGCAGGCTCTGGCATCAGCTTCGGCCTCTGCATCAGTGCCCTTGCACAGCCTCCCTGCATCCCTTTCTTCCCCTACTCTCCAAGACTTTGAAAATGCTTTCTGTAAGGTACGCCCTCACAGCACCCCAAAAGAACTGGACACTTGTATGGAGTGGAGCAAGGTTTACAGCCACTGAAACCTAGTCAGCCACTGGTTGGGGACTGCTTAATGCTTTCTTTCTTTTTTTTTATTGCTTGTTGCAGCCAAAAGAGTGGGACTTGTTGTGAAATTACAGTTTATGGTGGAGAGGCATTTTGGATTGAATGCATTTAATCTTGGGAACATGCCATGGTGTGTGTTTTTTTTTAAATAAATATACATATACTTTATTTTTTCCCAAAGAAATGAAATATTAGGCCTTTCTTGAAGGGGCATTTATTAGTTGCTTGGCTTATCTGATAGAAAGTCTGAATTATATTTTGGAATTTCACTGGAATTCCAATTAGCCTTGATCCTGGACTAAACCTGGAGGTTATAGATAACTTGATTTTTCTTCAAAAATACCCCCATTATTTGCAACTCTCAGGATCCTATTTATTCCCAGTCCACTCCAATGGCGTTGTATCTTTTGCGCTGAATTATTTTAAAGATCATTTGGTGTTAAAGGGCTTAGGATATATCAAAACTTTGTTGTTACCAAAAAAATCCCACCAACATCATTGTATCCAAGTCACAGCATTCACCAAAAGGTATTTACTGTTATGCAACCTCTAAGGAAAGAAAGCAACAGTATTTTTTACAAAACTGATTGTTAGGCCACGGTCATATCTTGTGCACTTTGTCAAAGCGATCATTTTACCAAAAGAGTATGCATTGCTACCCAAAAAGTATTAAAATGCTAATCCACAATGTCAGATAACAGAAAGAGACAAGCTTTTACTGTTGGTATACTGCTTTCTGAACACCTTGTGAAAGGTAAGATTTTCCAAATATAACATGTAAACAACCCATCACATTCCTCACAATCTCGTGAGAGCCTTTGCTCAGGACCCTCGGACACAAAAAACAAGGGTCCATGAATGACTATTTTCTCTCTTCTGCTTTACTCAGTTTATTTTATTACTAGTATATGTAGTCTTGTTTGAAATACTCAGGAAGAATTTCTTTACCTCAGAAATGATAACTAAAGAATGTATGTAATCTTAGGGTCTTAGTAGTAAGTATTGAGGTTGGAGGTAAGCAACAGACCTAACACAGACCTGTATACACACTGCATCTGTGCTGTTACCTCTTAGGTGAAACTTGAAAATGCTACAAAGACAAACAATGAATGTAATTCAGGTATTTCAGAGAATATCTGATGCCATAAATCCATGTTTTTAACTCTCTATGAAAACATTTTCCCTTATCTTTACCCTTTATTTTTGATGTAGATTTTGATGGAGTGATGATTGTCTTCATGAAGTGTTATTGTAGACTGCAAAAGAGATGTTTGATTTTGTTGGACAAACTGTTTTTTTTTGGAAAACCATGGTTCAGAGTATGTCATTGCGTCTCTTCAGTGTATTCTAGGAACAAAACCTAAACAACCCAAACATCAGAATCAGATTGCTTTACGAAATATTGGCAGCTAATCATGTCTAATCATAAATTGTGGCAAACCATCATGTGTAAATGTGTTAATCAAAAACACTCATCATGTAGACAATCCAAATGGAGCGGCCTCTACCAATGTTTCAAATATCCTGTTTGTCTGTAAGGTAGAGTTATTTATATTGTCTGTAGATTGGATTGCTGAATTTTGATCAGTTTTGACGTATACCCTGCCCACCCTATTCTCTTAGCACAATGATTTTCCCCCATGGTTGCTGGCTCTGTACAGCCATGTGGTGAGCTGATTTTCCCATCCCCCGTTCTTCTACCTTACCACAGCCTTTTGGAGAAGCCATATTCTGATTGATGTCCAGTAACCCTATAGCACTGTTCGGTTCTTCAAGTACAGCTGGTGGCTTCACTCATGCCACACAGGTCAATCAGAATGACCCCTGGAGCACATATTGATCAGAGCTGAAGTGGCAGAAATCTGTAGAACCTGGCAGAGTCAGGGAAATATAGAGCGCACAAATACATCATATTGAGTAAGAAAATTCAGCACTAGTTCAAAATCCTAGAAACTAAATACTCGTTTCGACCTAGCAGTGATCCTGTAACTAGTGCTCATCACAAGTGGTTATAATAATAAAGTTAATAATAATAATATTAAGAATTCCTTACATTTGTATAGCGCTTTTCTGGACACTAAAAGCGCTTTACAACTATTTTGGGGGGAATCTCCTCATCCACCACCAGTGTGCCGCATCCACCTGGATGAAGCAACAGCAGCCATATTGCGGCAAACCACACACATCTGATTGGTGGAGAGGATAGAGAGATAAAGCCAATTATGATATTGGGATGGTAAGGAGGCCATGATGGACAAAGGCTAGTGGGCAAATTTGATCAGAATGCTGGGGTTAAACCCCTTCTCTTTTTCGAAAGACGTCCTGGGATTTTAAACAACCACAGAGAGTTGGGACCTCGGGGTTAACGTCGCATCTGAGCAGAATAGAGTCCCCATCAATATACTGGGGCGTTAGGACCCACACAGAATAGTTGTTGAGCGCCCCCTGCTGGTATCGCTAACACCATTTCCAGCAGCAACCTAGCTTTCCCATGTGGTCTCCCATCCAGAAACTGATCTGGGATGGTTAGGGGTTACCTGCTTAGCTTCAGTGGGCGACCATGTGAGAGTTGCTGAAAGTTATAGCTACTTATTACTGTTTTCATCAAGTATTAACATGAAAATAAAAAGAATGTAGTAGGCATCTATGATTTTGATCGTAATCTATGTGCTTTTGGTAAAATGAAATTACAGTATGAAAACCCATAATGATCATGTTAGGTCTGCAGATGAAGAGTAGGGGGTCTTTTGTCGCTATTTGAACACATTTGACCACATGAGTGTTTACACTGTGAAAGCAATTCAGTCAAAAGTAGACAAGCTCAAACATTTAGGTCCCCATTTGCACCTGTATTCAGTGCCCTGCACTTGTGATCAGCTTAAGCTTCTTAATATTAGAATACTAAACGCTAAGATGCAATGATTTTATTCAGAAATTCTAGAAGAACAAAAATGCATGGCTGATTTCAAAACAAACCATAGAGGGCAGTTGAACAGTTTGTCCAACAAAATTGTCATTAATTAGCTGTTTTGAATCTATTAGTACAGAAACTTTGTTCTTGGATCTTGTTCTTGTACATTTTCTGTAACCATTTCTACCTCATTTTTGCAGCATATTGTACATGAAAATATTTATTTCATGTCTTTTTTGATGTCTGTTTTAAAAAATGATAATGTTCTTGAACTGTAATGGTCTACCTCAGAAAAGACTGTATTTTAAGAAAAAAGTATTAAACAATATTAAAGAGAATATGTCACAAATCATTCATGTTTCAACTTTCCATGCATACACAAGTCGTTTGCCTTTATATATTTATATCAAAATACAAGGAGATTCAATAATGTAATGTAATAAAATTATAAACATCAATTGTCTCAATTTGCTATAGTTTATTTCTGTTAACTAATTGCATTCAATGTTTAAGGTGCTCTGTGATTAACGGTCCAGTATACAGTGGTTTAAAACAAAAAAAGCTAGATAGTTAATGTTATAAAATGTAGTCCATAAAGACATGATGTTTCCCAGAAATGGGTTGCGGGCATCCGCTGCGTGAAACGTGTGCTGGATGAGTTGGCGGATCATTCCACTGTGCCGACCCCGGATTAATAAAGGGACTGAGCCGAAAAGAAAATGAATGAATTAATGAATGAAGCCATGATGGAAATTGAGATAATTAAGTGTGTGATTGCAACCATTGTCTTAAGCTATAGGATATACATCAAAGCGCTTACCCCCAACATAACCCTCATTGGGTCCGATGTTTTTTTTATTAATCAGATGTTTAATGTAAAGTGCTGATGGATGCTAATGATTAAGTCTCTGATTAAGATGAATAATGAAGGGTTACACACAGTCCTTGCCCTCCAATACCATTTCTGAAGGATAATTGTTCTCCAGCTGCCAGCGGAATAAAATAATATCCATCATACACTCAATAACACACTCACCTTGTGGAAGCATTATGGTGAATAAAATGAATCTGAAGGTCAATAATCACCTTTTCACTGATAATAAATCTCATGTGAATTAAGCTGGACCTGCTATTATAGAATTCATTGAACTGTCCAGTATGAATAGTCTGCATGTAATTTATATTTACGTTATAATATATATGGCATCTGCGAGGTAAAATAAGAGAAAGAAACATCTGATTATAAAGCTAGTTTGTTCAATGTCAGCCTCTTGAGTTCCACGTACAGAGTAATAAATCAGGGCAATTAGAGACAGGAACAGTTTGTAATTTGTTTACACAGTGTTAATTGGCACCAAATTTCCCTTTACTGATTGGAATGTTTTTCCTGCCTCAACCTCTATGAGATGGTTGTATTCATCAATTTCATTCATTCATTAATTCATTTTATTTTTGGCTTAGTCCCTTTATTAATCTGGGGTCGCCACAGCGGAATGAACCAACAAATTATCCAGCATATACTTTACGCAGCGGATGCCCTTCCAGTTGCAACTCATCACTGAGAAACATTTTGCATTTCAATGGTATCTATTTAATGCAGCCTGTTGATGGTAGCCAATCAAGTCAGAGTATATTTTGAAGCTCAGAATTACCAACCAATCACATACTCCTAAAGGCGGGATTAGAGATACGTCTGGGCACGAGGAGTATGAGGTTGGGCGTTTGCCTGGACGCGAAAGAGATTTAATTAATGTTATCGCTAAACACTGTGAACTATGCAAAAACATAATGAACATCATATTAAGGTATGTTGAAGGAAACATCACAACTGTTTGAGTTTCGTGTAGTCGTCGAATCTGCGTTTCAACCTCGTCACAGTTTGCAATGTCTTACGACCTACATTTAACGTTACCTAAAGTAACTTAAGCAGATATTTTTAAAACGTTAAGTAGCAAGAAAAACATTTTATATAATTAGAGAAATTTGCTGGTTCTTTGTTAAATTATTATTATATTACATGTTAAATTTGTTTTTTTACTCAACTTGTCAATGTGGTCACGTGATCGAGGTTAGCGTTAAAAGCAGGTATAAGTTATATAGCAGCTATTTAAACTGTGTATGTGTATGTGAATATTTAAAGTTAATATTTTAATGCTGGTTATAATTGAGTGTACTGTAATTTAAAAAGTCTATTGGAAAAAAAACCTTTATCTCCCCACCATTAGCCGCCTCACAGTATCAAGCGTCCGTGCGGATGCATTCTTGAGTGATGTGACCTGGTCAGCTTAATGTCGACCTCTCTGAATGCAGAGCTGGAGCAGAATCTCAATTACACGATGACAAAAAGTGGACTGATTCGTGTGTGCTACACAATATTGTAAATCTAGAGAGTTGCACATGCATTATGACTGCACGAGACTGGAAAAATGATACATTATGTTTTTTTTATTCTGCGATATATATTGCGATATGAATTTCACTAGGCGAGTTAAATAAATGTTTGTAAAGAATCTATAATTTTAGTTTGATTGAGAAGATTCTGTAGGACAGTAAAAAATTACTCCAGTTTGAGCACAATAAGTCTTGTATAATAAGCATAATATTTATATTATTGAGACCCAAAATTTTTATAATAAACAATCTACAAGCATGGATAAATTCAATAAAGAAAAAGATGCTAATTAAATATACAGCATTTTATTGTTTTCCGAAGAATCAAAATGTATTCAGGTATTCGGTAATTGAATAATCAAATGTAAAATAATATTGCATAGTCTTTGTTTTATAAACAATTCCATTAAATTAATTATTAATAATTTTTCAAAGTTTCAAACGGTATGTTTTCTTATGCCTTAATGCTTTTATAACCCTCACACAGTTATAGGCCTCAAAAAACACATGCAAAATGATCAATTATAATCCAGACTCAACATTGCATATACTTGCGATGTGACTGTGATTGCATTGCGATATTGATATATTGTGCAGCCCTTTTGTATTATAAAAAACAACTATACAATTTGTAATGCAGAATCTCAGTCACAGCTACCCAGACCAGTCTGTAACTTGTAATGTACAGTAGTAGCCAAAAGTGATGACTGGAGAGGAGAGTTAGATGATGTTTGCTATTATTGACCCTGGCCCGTAGCCTTAACTTCATTAAGCCATTACAATATAAGGGATGTTATATTAAAGAGGACAAAATTATTTTAATTACAACTAATTTAAAGGGATTGTTCACCCAAAACTGTGAATCCTGTCATCATTTATTCACCTTTCACTTGTCACACTGTTTGAGTTTCTTTCTTCTTTTGAGTGTATAAGATGTTTTGAAGAAAGCTAGAAAATTGTGACCATTGTCATGCATAGTGTTTGTTTAAACTACTATTAAGGTAAATGGTTGGATCTTCTTTAAAAAAAATAAAAAACTTGTTCAACAAAATGTAGAAACAAATAAAGGCTTGGAACCACTTGATGGTGAGTAAATGGTGTGTAAATTATACATTTTTGGGTGAATTGTCCCTTTCTGTGTTTTGGAAAACCTACAAGTAGAGCCTATGATAATGTGAGTAATAAAAATAATAAGAGGGAGGTGATTTTGTTAATTAAAATAGATTGCATTGACTACAGTATGATAAATTATTAATATACATTTTTAGTTAATTTGTTTCCTGGGCCAAATTGTTTATGTGCTAAAGAAATTGGTTAGGCATATTTAAAATAAGGATCATTTGATGATCAATCATTTCAGTTGTGGACCCTATTCACATGTCCGGGTTTCTTAGTAGAAGAAGGCATCGTAGGGTAAACTTAGAGTGCAGTGAATCAGAGAGTACAACAAATTTTTTTTTTTTTACAATCTTACTTTTTAAAATAGTTTTTAAAAACTGGGGTTATCGAGACTTTCAGAAAAAGAAAAAAAATGTGTGAGACTGAGGAGCCAGACAAGACAGATTTACTCAGCCCCATAGACGCTGCATTTCAAACACCTCACATAAGCGTTATTTTGTTTTTTGTAATTTGACGATTTGAATTTTAAAAATTTAAATAAATGTTTTTATTTATTTATTTATTTATTTATTTATTTATTTAGTATTGTGGCACAAATCTGGGGGTTCTAAAGTCAAAAAGATTGAGAAACATTGCTTCAGGGTAGTAAATCATTCCTTTACTGAGGTAAATAAGGTATAGTTTTACCTTTTGGTCAGTTAAAGCATTATAACTGATTTTTGCATTGTCTTTAACAGTCAATCTGTGCATTAAGCTGCCAACTATCTGCACTGCTATTCACTTTTGGCCTTACAAAAACATATTCCTGCAAAAGCATGTTCATTACATCAATATATTTATGATTTGTTGCATTTGAAATGTGTTCATTATTCCACATCAATGCATAAATGATAAAGATAGAAAGCAGAGAGTTCATATGCAGTGCAGCAAGATTTCTCAGAGTTCACCTCTGTCCAGAACCGCTCATGTCTTGCTCTCCTTTGTCCTGTCTAGCCTTGATACTGACAAGGTTGACATCAGAGGAGATCCCTGACACAGGGTGAGTTAAGGCTGCCAGCTGGTAGCAATCAAGTCTATTTAGGAGTCAGGGACACACAGACCCCCAGGGCCAAAACCGTAACTAGCCCAACCCTTAGCCCCAACTCCCCCAAAACCCTCTAGTTACCAGTTCAACTGTATTGATTCCAGATGTGCTGCCTTCGGTGTTGTTCAGCACTGGCACTTTACCTAGGAGGACCCTGAAATAGGGACAAGCTGTGAAAGAGAGGAGATATTACACACGTAGGGCTGGGTAATATGGCAAAAATGCAATCTCGATAATTCTTTTCCATATTTGAACGATAAAGATACACAGTTGAAGTCAGAATTATTAGCCCCCCTTTGATTTTTTTTTCTTTTTTAAATATTTCCAAAATGATGTTTAACAGAGCAAGGACATTTTCACAATATGTCTGATAATATTTTTTCTTCTAGAGAAAGTCTTGTTTTATTTTGGCTAGAATAAAAGCTGTTTTAAATTTGTTAAACACCATTTTAAGGACAAAATTATTAGCACCTTTAAGCCATATTTGTTTTCGATAGTCTACAGAACAAACCACTGTTAAACAATAACTTGCCTAATTACTCTAACTTGCCTAGTTAACCTAAATAACCTGGTTACGTCTTTAAGCTGTATAGAAGTGTCTTATAAATATCCAGTAAAATATTATGTGCTGTCATCATAGCAAAGATAAAATAAATCGGGTATTAGAAATGAGTTATTAAAACTATTATGTTTAGAAATGTATTGAAAAAATCTTCTATTCGTTAAACAGAAATTAGGGAAAAAAATAAACAGTGGGGCTAATAATTCTTACTACAACTGTATATTTCGATATAAGTTGTTAACGCTTTCAGCTTTAAAAGAGTATTACAACTATGACTATAAAATGTCAGATAAATAACAGCATTTACTTGATATTTGGGAGAACAGTTTTCAGACCTCTGTAGAAAGAAACAAATATTTATAATTTACTGAAACCCATACCAAATAAATAGATGGTAACTGACAATTTTCTGAAGGACTCCTAATTTTTCCTTTCATATCTGTATATATACTTATTTTATTTTTTAAAATACCATTCATCACATGAAGTGCACACTGAATTGACCAAAACAAATATAATTCATAAGGTTACAGACTATTACATTTTAAATAAATGCTGTAATTTTTCCTTTCCATCAAGATTCCTGAAAAGTGAATTATATAATTACTGGTTTAAAAAAAGCAAGAAGGTTGCTGGTTCGAGCCCCGGCTGGATCAGTTGGCATTTCTGTGTGGAGTTTGCATGCTCTCCCTGTTTTTGCATGGATTTTCTTTCAGGTGCTGCGGTTTCCCCCACAGTCCAAAAAAAGCATTATAGGTGAATTGAATAAGCTAAATTGGCCGTAGTGTGAATGTGTGTGAATCCAAGAATGTGGGTATTTCACGGTGCTGAATTGTGACCGCAAGGGCATCTGCTGTGTAAAACATATGCTACATAAGTTGGCGGTTCATTCTGCTGTGGGGATCCCTGATTAATGCGACAAAGCCGAAAAGAAAATGAATGAATGAGCAAATAAAAATGAATGCAACCGAACAACAAATCAGCATTTTATTGTTATTTTATTTTTATGTTTTTGCAAAAAAAAAAAAAAAAAAAAAAACAGTTGACAAGTTTGTAGCAATATTTGTTTACAATACAGAATATGAATTACGTTGTCAATGAAAATGAGATATGAGAGAGAAAGAGAGAAGAAGAAGAAAAAAGAATGAAGAACATAATATAAACTTGAGGGTAAGACATTTAAGAATCAATAACAGTACATAAATTAAAGTCATTACAAATTGAAATAGTTCTGTTTGCTTTCTTATTTTTAGATAATGAAATTAAATGTATATAATGACTAAATTCTTGCAAAAAAACAGGAAAATATGGTTTAGTGTTAGTAAATTTGCATTTGTGAATATGGAATTTACAAAGAAAATAAATTAAATTTATAACTACAAATCAACATATTAGACTGACATCTAAAGAATCATGTGACACTGAACGCTGGAGTAAGAAATCCTTTCTTTGAATCACAAATATGTTTAAACACAAACCTGTTATTTTAAGTTAAAATAATACTTTTGACTTGTAACAGTGCTACAGATATGTTCCTGTTTTATTTTTATTTATTTATTTATTTTTTAAGTTTTTGGACCATTTCATTAACAAAACAATATACTGCTTTCGTTGTTTATTTTCACAATTGTTACCTTTTAAAACTGCTGTAAATGGTTTGTTGTGATAGAAATTAAACACTTTGCACAACTGCTATGGCATTTTTATTGATAACATTTGCTAGCTCAGAATTCCTCTTTTCCTGTCAAACTCTATCAGCAGGAGATTGATCAAGTCAAATCTGACTTTGTTTAAGTTTAAGCTGGACATGAAAACAACCCCTGAAGCTCCAACAGCATTGTGCTGATCTCAACAGCCCTCAGACAGGCCAAATTAATCAGCTAATACCCTTTGATGTAAGGAATGTCTGAAGACTCAAACTACCTTTCCTGCATATACAAGAGGGATGTGTATTTAATGTCATTTCAAAAACTTGTACATTTTGGGGAAAGTGTCCTTTTAGACCTGGGATGTCCAAACTCAGTCCTAGAAGACTAGTGTCCTGCATAGTTTAGCTCCAAGTTGCCTGGAAGTTACCTACCTGCCTTGGTCCCTCCAGGACCAAGTTTGGACACCGCTGATTTAGACCGTTTGGTTTTATGACATAATATTTACTTCAACACCGATCACTTGGATTTTTACAGTGTGTTACTCTGCCCTCTGGTGGTTGATGTTTTTTATTTAATTTGTTTGTTCGTTAAGTTTTTTTGTAAATCATGTTTTATTTCAGTTTTACACCCCTACACTAGTCATATATTTCTCAAATATCTCGGCGAGAATAAGAAAACGCTATTCTGGGTGTGGGTGTGAGATTATAAAGGGTTTTCAGTGGTAGTAATGACGAGGCAGTTTCCTGACTCGCTTCCTGGTGTGAACCAAGACATGTTGCCAGGTCTGCTAAAAACAAGCAAACTAAAAAGATAGGTAAACACAAAATACGAAATATGTTAAAGAAAGCACAAAATAAGGGGAGACTTAACAATTTATATGCGAGACTATTGTATTTTTTCTTAGGAACGATCAACAAAGAAGAATATTAACAAGGTAAAGGATAAAATAGGCTAGACAACAATATTTATAAAATCTGGGCATGGCAACTTTCCAGCTCACGGGATCCCACAAATGTAGGAATCATTCAGAATGATGTTTATTAAAGGATTCGAATATATATTGATGGTTGGGTTCGGTTTTAATGGTTGTTTTTTCCTGTTTAATTAAAAAAATAAAAATTTTCGTAATGTTATTGTATTGAAACTGCACTGCTGCCATTTATTGTTCGTACATTAAAACAATAGCAATATCTCATTTGTATGTGACTTTCTCTACGATGGGAAAGAAGATATAACAATAAAACGCAAAAGCAATCGAGCCTCTTTGAGAAACGGAAACCCCTTTCGAAACTCCTTACTGGAAGTCAAGTGATTCGAGCAGAAATGGCGTTGTTTCCCCGCCTACAAATGACGTTTTGCCTAGAAATATAGAAAGCTGCCTCTGTTAAACAGGCATGTGGTGTCTAAAATTGTACCTCGCTAGCTATCTCGGTTTTGAGACACAACCAGTGCGAAGCTGTAGATGTGTTTGTCTGCACTGTGGTCAATGGTCGTGTTACCACAGCTGACTTTCTCTGTCCTTTTCTGGTTTATCTGTGATTTTCAAAACAGTTAAAAATAATAATACACATAAAACACATAAAAATCAGTTTAATTTATATTATATATACACGGTAAATTCTAACCCAGCATATGTGTGTATGTGTATGTATATATAATTGTAATATCAATATAATTCAAAGTGAATATTAAAGTCAAATTAATAAATTATTAATAAAAAATATGTAATAAAATAATGCAAATTTCAGACAACAATGTACACACACTAGGACAATTATTGAATTTATTAAAGTAAGAAGTGTGATTACAGAAACATGCATGCCTATATAAAGATACTCACAAAAATATGAAGGCACTCCACTAAATGAAAAACAAGCCCGTCAAGGCACTTTTTATCACACACATTTAATTTTATGTATACTTTATTAGCTGTATTGGTATTTAAAAGCACATCTATATTTCCAATGATGTTCAGCGGGATAAAGCTTCTCATTCACCTGGGAGAGGAGCTGCGTCAGTGTGGCCAATAAGCAGCAGCTTCAGTGCGACTGTAAAGTGAAAGTAGGTGGATAGACAGAAAAAAACAACAAACACACACGGAAGACGAAGAGTTTTATCTGTACGCGTGTTAAAGAGCTGGCGTCGAAATCGGGTAAGTTTTCACCTTAACAGCATTGTATTTAAGTTTCATATAATCCGCGGATAGTGAGTTTATCGCGAAGCGAATTTGTTTATCTCCGAATGTTGTTGTAATGAGGAAACATGAGTTTTGTAATAGCCCACTTTCCTCATATGTACACGAAAGCCGCTTTCGAGCGAAGCGAGCAACCAAAACGATTTCGTATGAAGAGAAATATCCTTTTATAAGAAGTTTATCTCAGTTCTAATGTAAATTCGATCTAGATATGTCATTATAACATGAGCATACTCAAACGACGGCAAAATAGCATGGTCACTTATTTACTTTGCTCCTTGACAAAACACTCGAGAGGAATTAACTTCATGACAATTCACAAATTTAACAGATTTTCTGTAAATAACTTGTTGCTGGATTTAGCGAGGAAAGAAGGCCTACTTGTATGTAGTGGACTTGCATATTACTGTCCACTGTGTTACATGTTTAGTTTGAAAATGAAAAACATATATTGCAGCACGAGCGCCTGCTTGAAGCCAGGCCCCACTTTCTGTTCCCCAATGGCTGTGTTTTATGTTCTTTTCAATGTACACTAGTTAGATTTAAACCCCTTTTCACTATTGTTGTAACATTGCATGTGTCAGTTTCAGTCTTGGGGATAGGGATGTTGTTATTTTTCATAAATATTAAATGAATACTAATGGCTGCCTTTTAAAAGGCACTAGTGGGCTTAGTGGTGTGTTTATTTCTGTGCAAAATGAATTAGAAGCAAATCATATTTTTTATATATTTGTTCATGGTTGATGTTTTTTGCTGGTATTAATTTTTAATTATAAAATTTAAAACAATTAAAATTCAGTTATTAGGAAATTTGAAAGAACAGACTTCAGTACAGAATAAATTGTAAAATGTCTTCCCAAATTAAATCTAAAGAAATATCGGATGCTTTTCAAGTTTTTCAGCGAAGCAAATTGTTTGCTTGCGTCTTTTTTAGTTATTAGTCATAGTGTTAATATGAGTAGTAATTGGATGACTGCACAACGGCAGTGTTTAGATTAGAAGTATATCTGACTGATCTTAAGTGTAAACTTAGAATACAAAACGGTCATTGGGATGAAACACTTTTTAGAGCCACACATGTAAATTGTCCTTATTGTTGACTTTAGGTACCTATTAGCACCTAAAGAATCTGTGTGCTTTTTGAAAAGGCACAACGTCAATGACAGTTTGTACCTTTTTTCCTGGTGTACACTTAAGATCAGTCAGTCAAGGCATTTTTGTACTGTAGATATGAACACTGGTCTTGTTTAGTAGTGTAACTATCATAGATTTTAATGGCAGTTTTGATTAATGACAAAATAAGTGGTCTTGGAATGCTAAGCTGCTTTGAGTTTAACATCTCTATCAATAGTCTATGAAAAAGTATTTGTGTGATTTTTTTTTTTTTTTTTTTTTTTTTTTTTTTTTTTTTTAGGTTGAGAGATTGTTTTCTATTTTCCTTTTATAGAGAATTAACATTCAGGTAAACTAAAATGAGCAGTCAAATCTTTTCATTATCGCAGTTATTTCTCTTTTGACCAGTGAGATTGCACAAGGTTGACAAATTGTGCATTTCAGATAATTTCCTTGGAAGTAATGCTTGAGTATTCTCACATGTTTCCTCTTAGAGTTTCACAAATAATTTTGACAGTCAATCAAATAAGCTCAAACTCTTCTAATCAGATTTTTCCAAACCACATTATCCAATATATCCCTTGATCATCATTTTTATATGCTTTGTTTTTTTATTTCTGTCTTAATAGAATTAGGGATAAACGTCTAAGGCCAGGTTGATGCCTTAAAGAAACAGATAAAAGCAAATGTAAAATTGGGTGCTGTTGCAGGTTAAAGATTTAGCAGAAAATCAGATTTCATGCTGCTGCCACCAGTAACATTATAGGATAGTGCTAAAGAGCAAAGTGAATGATTTTACGCAAAAATACTCAGAATGCATCAACAAGAATAAAGTACTGTATTTCTATATAAGGATTAAATTAAAAGGGGTTGTCAGACATCAAAACATTAGGTGCAATACATATGTAATCTTTTTTTCATTAGAATATACCAGTTTCAGTTTTATTTTGCTTATTCTTTTTTATCAATAAACATTGATTATCATAGATTGTTAGTGAAACAGAGGATTATATTATACTATAGTACTTGTGGAGCTGCACATCGGTAGATTTGCTGTTCAGTGTTTGGACTGACACGTTTTCAATTCAATTGACTAAAACTTCTACAGTATGTTCAGCTTCTTACAATCTAACCGCTATCAAAATAAAGAATAATTGAATTGAATTATAATATGATATAAATAATGTATGCAATATTTACATTATAATTTATTCTGAGTTCAAATTTAGAATTAAAATCGCTGATGACCAATTTAAAGATCACAGTACAGCCCAAAAATATGAATTAAATACCATTTTACACCTTTATGTTGTTAATTATTTTATGTAGTTCAAACAAATTCATTAAAAATATTTTCTATAATATATAATCATACATTAATTTTCTTGTCGGCTTAGTCCCTTTATTAATCCGGGGTCGCCACAGCGGAATGAACCGCCAACTTATCCAGCAAGTTTTTACGCAGCGGATGCCCTTCCAGCCGCAACCCATCTCTGGGAAACATCCACACACACATTCACACACACACACACACTCTTACACTACGGACAATTTAGTCTACCCAATTCACCTGTACCACATGTCTTTGGACTGTGGGGGAAACCGGAGCACCCGGAGGAAACCCACGCGAAGGCAGGGAGAACATGCAAACTCCACACAGAAACGCCAACTGAGCCGAGGTTCGAACCAGCGACCCAGCAACCTTCTTGCTGTGAGGCGACAGCGCTACCTACTGCGCCACTGCCTTGCCCATAATATATAATCATATATTTATCTATTTATTTAAGTACAGTTCAGAATAAATTGAAATATTCACTAACACTGTCTATAACTTGTAGTGACCTGTCTTAGTTTTACTCTTAAACAGTTACTCAGAAGCAATAAAACAATTCTTCAATGAATGTCCCGTTCCTTATGTTCTTGAGATCCTCCTTTCATTTCATTTTTTGTGGGTTGTTCAAAGTTCTGCATAAATAAGCTCTGCTTTTTCACCAGACCTGTTATTCTGGTGTTCACACAATAGGAATCTGACAAGTGGTTATGTTGAACTGTCTGCTGTCACCTTATCTGATATCTGAATGAATGCGTACATTTGAGAAGTGCCTAGGTCATGTGCTTGTCCAATATTTTGTCATAACATAACATGGTTCCCTTGAACATTTATATCAAGATGTTATGTCTCCATGTAGGTGTGTGTGTGTGTGTGTGTGTGTGTGTGTGTGTGTGTGTGTGTATGTGTGTTTTTTTTCAACCTGCTGTACTAAATTCCATTCTCAAACATTAGCGCAAAGTATACCTGATAGGAAGCAATTTAATAATGAGGAACTGAGGAAATATTAATTGGAACAGAAAAATTCAAGGCATTAATGTGGTCTTATTAGTTTCACACTAATAGTAACGTTGTGTTCTTAATGATGCTCAATACAATATGCACCTTTTACTCAGGTCTTTTAACTTCACAAGTATTTTGACATTCATCATTGGAGTTTAAAACCCCTGCCCCCTGCTCTACAAATTTAAAGCTTTGCGTTCAACATTACTTCATTTTTTGTTTAAAAAACTGTATCAACCAGGTATTTAAAGTGCTTTAAAGCTCTTTAAAATATTTCGATGTAAAAGGACAGCATTCATAATGAAATGAAATAGTGCAAAAAGTGATTTAAAAGTGCTTTTTTGGACAAAATGTTTTATTCTTATATATTCTTGTGGTAATGAAAATGTAACCCTTTATCATTTTAAAGCCAATGTGCAGATTGAAACTAATGAGTAATCTGGGGGTTGCCATGTTGGAATTTACCACAGAAACCTACTAATTTCCTACTGCCTACTAATTTCTTGTACAGTGTGCACGCTAAACTACATATTAGAAATGCACCTAGTCTACAGTTCACGTTCCTATTTAGAAATAGTTGAAAACAATCATAATTAGTTAAAACATGTTTATTTTATTTTATTTAAGTCATTTTAATTCTAGGATTTTCAGGACACTAATTGTTTAGCTAAACTATTTAGACATTTTGGTGATTACTGATCTTATTTTAAAGTTTCATGGTTTCAATTGATTTTTAAAACAACTTGTCCTTTAAGTGGTTTTAACTAATGTAAATATACAGTTGAAGCCCAATTTTTGCCATGATAATAGTAAGTAATATTTGACTAGATATTTTTCAAGACACTTCTAAGTTCTATACAGCTTAAAGTGACATTTAAAGGCTTAACTAGGTTAATTAGGTTAACTAGACAGTTTGTTCTGTAGACTAGTAATAATTTTGACCTTAAAATGTTTTTTAAAAAATTCAAAACTGCTTTTATACAAGTCGAAATAAAACCAATAAGACTTTCTTCAGACGAAAAAAAATCATTCTCCAGAAGAAAAGCACCAATTGAGAAATAATTTAAAAAGAAAAAAAATTCAAATGGGGGCTAATAATTCTGACTTCAATAATATTCATTATTACATTTATTAATACACAACTTAAGCTAGTTTAAGCAGTGTATAGCGTAAAAATCAGTGGAGTGTTGTAAAGCTTAAGACAAAGCTGCATTTTTGAAAAAAATGGGAATTGACAGTAGTTTGGAAAGACATGATCCAGCATGCTTGCATGCTTTAAGGGAACATTGAGTTTCAGTGCTTAAATCTAACACAATACGTGCTGCTTGTAAAGCACTAGACACAACTAAAACTAGCAATGTATCTTCATCATTTTAGTTAACACTAAAACATAAAACAATATGGATACACTGACAATGTCTGTTTACATACCTTTTTGGGAGTTTTAAATTCATGATTTTAATGCATTTATAATACACTAGATGTATTAATTATTTAATGCAAATAAAACATTTACCTTATTTGTATGTATATCTGGGTTTGGGTTTATACAAGCTTCTGTTTTTGCAATTTGCATTTCACGTTCCACAGCCTATCCAAACATAACATACAAATGCAAATAATTTTCGTTAAAAACCATTATGAAAAGAAATTATGTTTTGGAGAATAATAAGGTCAGCAGCAGCATCATCATCATAATAAAATGCACCATAGCTACAGTATTTTATGCGTTAAAACAGCAAGCAAAAGTTTAGTGGTTGCCGGGCAGTTGTTTTGGTAAGCGCGTTGTGGTATACAGTGTCTTCGGTCTCCTTATGTTGGGGAGAGATAAGACAGACACACTGTCATTTCTCACTTGCCCAAACAAAAGTCACACAGAGCACTAACAAACCCCGCTCTCTGCCCAGAGCATCCGCTTGTGCTTTTGAACTAAATCAAACCACAAAACAGCCCCTATAAAGCCAGGAATGCACCAGCTTACTTTAAGTTCATCTATTATACTCTGTAATCAGATGTATTCATGTAATCAAATATATTATCTACAATCAGATTGTAGAAATGACATTTTATACAGATTCGTCCAGTGTTTGATCTTGTTTAATCCATTCATAGAATGTGGAGCTCAATATTTATTTGTATTTAATATAAATATGTTTTGACCAAATAGATCAAATAGATGTTTGGATCCTTTTCTAGCCTCTGTGTATGTATACCCATCAATATTCCTGTCTTTCTTTGAAGGAACTATTCCATGGTTAAACTGTGGAATTTTTGTGTGTGATGAATGAAGTGTGGCGGGCTTTTGTGTCCTTGTTAATATACTCATATCCTATTTTGGAAACACGGCTTCAAATATCACTATTGGTAGGGCTTGTGGGGAACACTGATGGAAAAAAATCTAGAGTGAAGAGAGTCACAGGAATGAGTAATCCTTATAGATTTAGTTTATGGTGGATGATTCATGCATCTTCCAAGGAATTGATAGCCATTTTCCAGTGCTTTCCTATGTTGATGGTGTGATTTTATTTATTTATTTTTTTACCTTTGCAGTGCCTGCACATTATGGCGCAGTGGGCGCAAATGACCCAGCACATACAGTTCTTGACAACTGAGGTGCTGAATGAACTCTACCCAGTCACGTTTCCTCTGGATATCAGGCACTATTTGGCCAGCTGGATAGAGGGGCAGCAATGGTAAGCCATTCATGTTTATGTTGTTTAAAAGTTGACAATATTTTTATTAATATTGCTCTGAACTGACAACCCTTAATGTGAATTACTGTAGAATGGCTTTACAGAAGCAAATGTGGCTCATTTTTTACATAAACAAAGGTAAATAAATTGTAATTAGAGACATGGCAACACTTTACAACAAAGGCGTAGTAGTTCATGTATTTAATAACACAAAATATGAACAATACATTTATTACAGTATGTATTCATCCTTGTTAATGTTATTTGAAAGTAAAGTTGTTCATTGTTAGTTCGTTAACTAACTGCATATTAACTAATATAAATGAGTGATAACTAATGAGTTTGGATTTTAATAATGCATTAGTAAATGTTGAACTATGATTAAAAAATGCTGTAGAAATACTCTTTATTATTGTGTTAATATATATGTTAACTAGCATTATCTATTGAACCTTTCTAAAGTGTGACCAAAGAATAAATAAGAATGTGCTCACACCTGGTTGTAATTACTGTAATTATAAGATTCCACATTATGAAAGCTTAAAGCTTATAAACTGAGAGGCTCAATGAGCTATATGCACAGCTAGAGTTTTTAAGCCAACGATAAACTTCCGGTGAAAGCTTAATGTGACTATTTTCAATTACACAAAGTTGTTTTTACAGCATCGATGTTGTAATGTGATTACAATACATTCAGTTAAATCGACTTGAGCATTAATTTAGTTGTTCAAGCGTAAAACGAGATGAAAGACCATTGTAAACTCTAGCACCGTCAGTAGCAACAGGTTAGCGCAGAAATTTCATTGAAAATACTGGTGTAAATTCAACTGTTATATTTTAAAGACATGGCTGGGGGAAATGCAATTAAATGCAGTGTTTCTTGTCCGATCTAAGACCCATTTTATATCACATATCTAACTGGCAGTGAAGATCGCTGATGTTTAAAGAAATCAAATCTAAACTTAACAATTTTCTAATGGAAAGACATTGAAAGCCTGAATGAAAATTAAAAGTCCATGTGCATGTAGCTCATTGGAAAAAAAAGCACTTTTCTTATATATTTAAAAAAAAGTTTATTCATATATATACATTTGATGTCAGAATTATTATACCTCCTAAACAATTAGCACCCCTGTTAATTTTTTTTGTTTGAGTTTTAATTACTCATCTTTAATAACTAATTTATTTTATCTTTGCCATGATGACAGTAAATATTATTTGACTAGATATTTTTCAAGACACTTCTATACAACATTTAAAGGCTTAACTAGGTTAATTAGGTTAACTAGACAGGTTAGGGAAATTAGGCAAGTTATTGTATAACAATGGTTTGTTCTGTAGATTATCGAAAACAATACAGCTTAAAGGCATTAATAATTTTGGATTTAATGATAATTTTTGATAATTTTCAGGGCAGTACCAAATAAAATAAAGCTAAACAATGTAATTAATAATATTAATTTAGTTTATTTTCATGTCATAGGAATCAAACTATTATTACATGGACCAGATCCATGTAATAATAGTTTGAGCATATTTGACTACCGCTGTAATGAGGAAGTGTGCAGAAACTTGGAAAATGCTTACAAATGTCATTGTCATTTTGAAAATGCCCACGAAAGTTAAGGGCATTTGAGGGTGTGGTCTGAGGGGGTTGGATGATGATGAAAGGGGGTTGGGTTAACTGCATATGTGCATATAGTCGTTTATCTTGAACGCTTGAATCATTCATAAGATGTCAACAAAACCTGTCAATTCAACATATGCACTGACAAATGCTCATACAGACGATTAAAAACCGTCGCCAACTACTTTTAAAAGTAGTACACAGGAAAAATGGTTTCGGCAAACTGTTGCAAACAGTTTAAATGGGCACAATTTAAGTAAATTACATTTAGTAATGTTCAACTTAATTTGTTTGTTAAAATTCAGCCCAAATAAATCGTTTGCAAACATTTTTATTAAACACACTCTTTGGATGAGGTTGAATCTACTTTGTGTGCTCATCTAAAGCATGTCTAAATATTTTAAAGGAACACTCCACTTTTTTATTCATTTTTTATTTTACGACTTTCCTACACTGAAAAAAATGTTTCATTGCCAATTTTTGGAAAAATGTATAAGCTGAATTAAAAAAAAAAAGAAAAAAAAAACTTTTGTTTGAATGCAGTCCTTATAAATTGCTTACAACCACTTACTTGAAAAGAAAGTAAATCCAATGTTTTTTTTGTTTTTTTTTCAGTGTAAAATTATGGGAAAAATAGCAACTTTTGTATGTAACTGTAAATTACCGGGAAACATCTAAACTCTTTGTTCATTTTTGATAATTTGCCCATTTTTTGCTAATAATCCAATCCAATTCAGTAATCTATGCTGATAACATAAAATTGCAATTACCAGACTCGGAGATCAGCCAAATGGATAAAAAAATAATAATAATAAAACTCAACTGTTTAACTCTTGGAGACGTGTACAATTAGTCTTTTTTTTTTGTGGAGTTTGCTTTGAAAGGTTAGGCATGCTGTTTTAATATAAAAAAGTTAACTATGGACTGTAGGAGAATGCTTTGCTAAACCCAAATGAATATGTTCATCTTTAAAAGGAAATGGTGACTGAATACAACAAATCAAATTGAAATACACTTCAGGTGTAGTTAAACATGAATTCCCAGTGTGTGAAAGAGTTAGCAAAGCTAAATTACATTGGAAAGAATAAAAAACAGGATGAGCTAGACTTGAATGGCACTGTTTCCTGTCAGTTTATGACAGTTTCTAAAGATGACTCAGTACAACAGTGATTTAAAATCATCATGTATTTGCAATGTTTGATTTAGGGATAGCTTTGATGTGGACAACAGGGAACAGGAATCTCAGGCTCAATTACTGTCGGATCAGATGGTGATGTTGCTGCATCAAGTGGCCAAGCAGAACCCTAATGTGGTGGAGAAGGTCAAACTACAGCATATGAGCAAGAACTGGGTGTGTACAAAAATTATAACATTTCTCATTTTTGCTGGCTTACACCGTATCTTAACTACACGTGAATGTATGCTGCAACACATGAAAAAAAAACTCTTTTTCATGTTTTTTTTCTTGACCATGTGTGATGGCGATGCACAAAATTTCTATTTTAGCAAGGCTTTCTATTTTCACAACGTTGCAGAACCACAGCAAATACTACTATGACAATGATTACCCCAGGTACAGATTATGTGCTTTATTCAGTGTTAAATGCTACCTGTGTGAGTTTGAGTACCATTTTACTGCCATCCTATCAAAACTAGCAGCAGAAAGTTTACCTCAAATCTTGTAAATAACATAACTAGCAACTGGTTTAAGTGAACTGTGACTGGGTGCACACCAACATCAGTCGCTCTGTAGTCTATTTAAAAAAAGTTAAAGGTTTAATATGTATTAATTAGGTTATAAACCTTACAATTTCATTGGGAGTGCAGTCGCTAGTATTTCAATAAATGGCTAGTATATAAATAATGTTGCGTTGTGATTGGTGTGGACAGCCAAATTGCTTGTCGCTGGAATCTTGTTGAGTCTCAAGTTGTTAGGACACGGTGTTAAAGTACAATCTCAAATGTAGGTTCTTTATTGAAATTACTGTTTTCCATTCCCATAAACCAATGATTTTACAATGATCTTACAAAGTTGAAAAAGGATCATTAAAATATTAATCTATAAATTAATTTAGTTCTTTAATAAAAGTCAGTGTATTCTTAGAGTGCTTTCACAATTGGTTCAATTGCCTTGAACGAACCTAAATTGGATTGTCCCCCTTGTCACCTTCTCGGCTGGATTGTCTTCACACTGTACTTTTTCCTTCTGAACCCTGGAACAGGTACGCTTGCAACAACGAGATGCTGTTTTGTGTACAGCTGCTTCTAGGTGGCGGCCACAAAAGCAAAGTGCTAAAATGGTGACGTTCACATATCATGGTCACTTTGCTTTCACTGAAACTTTTAGTTTTTTTACCAAATAAAAAAAAAATGAAATGTTTAGAACATCTCGCAATGTCTGAAGTTGTTTTTGGTGGAGTCGAGCAGCAGTAGTCCCTTTCACACAGGGATACTGGTAAATATCCAGAATATTACCAGAACGACTTAACTGGTAAGTTAAATAAAGCGCTGTTCATACAGGCAAAAACGTTCCGGAATTTTTCCGGAAAAGTCCATTTACACATCCATTCCAAAATACAGGTAAATTTCGACATCATTAACCAGAAATGAGCTCTAAACAACTGCGCTTGTATATATAAACATAGAAGGGGTTTTGTTGATGATTGATGGTATGTAATAAGTGTGTGTCCTGGCGTGTGCACATGAAGCAGCTGGAGAACGTGTCAAGTAACTGAAGCAGAGCTTAAAGGTAAACAAACAGCGGATAATCATAAGCATTTTATTGATCATTTTTACTCCGTTAACTTGACCAGCCTAGCTTAAGCTGGTTTTTGCTAGGCTGGTCAAGCTAGTTTATGCTGGTCATCTCCCCGACTGATCAGCTAAGACCAGGCTGGAAACCAGTCTGAATCTCCATTTTGGCCAAAACCCATCTAAAACCAGCCAACCAGCCTAGACTGGTTTCAGCAGTTCTTTCTGTAGGGTTGGCATTAAGAAGGATCATAGAAACTTTATCTGACTAACAACTAGCAACTAAATGTTCCTGGCAAAATATTCAATTATTTTCTTAAACAGCGTGGATGTGAATGTGTCTGAATGTTCTGACTGGCTGGAGTAGACGTTTCACGTCAGCACGTTCTAAGCGTAAACACGCTTTTTCTGGCAATTTTCTTTCTGTGTTCACACAGAGCAGCATTCCGGCAATTTACCGGTAATGTTACAACTTCTCTTTCCGGAAAATTGGCAGAACGAAAAGGGCCTGTTCACACATGATCCCATTTCGTAAAATTGCCGGTTATTTTCCGGAAAGTTCTGCATATGTGAAAGGGGCTATTATCACTGTTTGCGTTGTGTCAGTCCCGCTTGTCGCCAAGGTAGCGTTAAGTGATACACAGACAAACACAAACAAACAAACGTTATGAAAACTAAAGTTTGTTGTACAGTTGGCGGATCACTTCCATTATTTGGTACGATTGCATTCATATCAGAAGAGAATCGAACCAGAGTTCGCATGAACCGTACCCCAGACCACCTCTTTCAGGTGGACTGGGTCTGATTCACGAGTGCACATCCGAGTTCAAAACTCGTTCACACTAAACACTAAGCTAAACGTACCGTACTTTGACGTCAAAGGAACCGAGGTGCAGACCAAAAGTGCTAGTGTGAAAGCACCCTAAAGGCTCTTTATCGATTAGTGAACTTTTTGGAAGCTTTCACAATATCTTTTGGGCAGTATAAAAGATAATTATTATGTTTACAAACAACAAGATGGCCAAGAAAGAGTCACTGTTGGAATTTATATACAAGTACTTAAGAGTCTATTACTGCATCTTTATGATAAATGTTTTGGGCTTAAGCTTTGTTTGTCTACAATAATTTTTTAACTATTATTAATACCTGTCATTAGTTACTACACTGTAAAACCCAACAGTCAACTTTATCAAATTAAATGAGTGTAGTTTACTCAAAATTTACTGCAAGTTAATTGTACTCATTTGAAAAGAGTTTTGATTTATTGAGTTTTACTTTGCCCAAATTGCTTCGTTTACTCAAATGGATTAAGTTCACAGTACTCTATTGGATAAATTTTTCAATTTAAATGGTTTGTTGCAATCAGTTTCCTCAAATGTTTTAAGTTACCTTTACATTTCGGGTTTTGCAATGTGGTAGTGTGAAGACTTTCCCATGGTTTGTTCTTCTTCTGGACAGTTCTTCTTCTGTCCAGGCTAAACTATTGTAATGTTTTTTTTTTTTCTTTTTAATCCTGGATTATGACAATGGGATGTCTTCTGACATGACTGTTTTAAACTACACAATGCATCAAATATGCATATCCAAACTCATATTTGAGGGTACTTGAAATGAAAAATGGCTAAGTCTCTTTTTTGATGATCTACTGTACATAAATGCGTAGTATGTCCAGATATGTTGTATTAATTATACCAAAACTAAAAGTAATCTTCCTTTTTTATCATACACTCAGTGGATGTCTTACTATTGGCAGCCTGCCATGTTGACATAGAGCACATTGTTTGTATTCCCTCCTCTTTTTGATGTAACCTGCTGAATTGTTTCTGTGCTATAGAGTGTGCTTTACCCACAACCCTTACAACTTGTGAGGACAGTTCGGGAGATTCTAAGGAAAGAAAGACTAATTTTATCACAGACTGTAAGTACAAAACATTTGCAACATTTAGGATTTGTTGACAAAATGCTACAGCAGTTTTAAATGTAGGTGTTTAATGCATTATTTGTATTTATTATGATGTTGTTCATGATGTTTGTGTGTGTTTAAAGAATATGCAGTTCCCTCCCTTCGCACCTCCACCTACCAACGGCATCCCACAACAAGCATGGGAGGAGAAAAAGACTGATGTGGAGAATCTAATGTCCAAAGTTATGGAAATTCAGAATCGCCGCCAAACACTTCATCAGCTTCAAGAGGAACTGAATTGGGAGAAAGAGACGATTCAAGGTATGAAGTCCAAGTTGTTTTGTCAGCTTGTGGCAAAAATAATGACTTTAGAATGGTAATAATGCCACATTTAATTATGATAAATGTGGGTAAAGTTGTTCTTTACTATTACTTTTCATACCAAGTTCTAGGGAAAGAAGTGAGAAGTTTTCACTTTTTTTTGTGTTTCATGTTTGGCCTGAATTAGCTGTTGATTATTATGAATATGAAAATAGTCCAAAACATTGTTAAATGATCAAAGGACAAATTTTAATCTACGCTGTTGATAAAATGTTGTCATTAATTCCACATTTATCACTTGTTTTATGAATCTTTTTTGTACTTTTCTGTCAAAGCACAGCCAGCTATTAAGCTTCTTTTATTATTAATTATCTCTAAAAGCACTTTTAAAAATATATATTATTATAAAAACTGGGTTACACTATAATAGATGTCTTTGTCTATTATTTAATACAGGAAGTACAATGCAACATTTCTGGGTCAAACTGAAAACTATTATCAAAGTTCCTTACTAAAAGTTAATATTTTATGGAGCATGCTGTCTCTTAAGCAAGCAAAACCTACTTTCTTTATTGGCCATTAACATTTATATAATGCCTTACTGTAGTTTTGTGCATGTGCCACATGCATTTTTTTGTCAATAAAAATATTCGTAAAGCTCACTTGGCACAGTCCATTTGATGGCTCGTTTTGTGCATCTGCTTCTTCACAGCAAAAAATGCACAGCAACACAAGGGAGAAAGTCAATAAGACATTACCTTAGAGCGGCAGAAGTGTAAATAGTCATTTCCGTCATGGAGGCTCCAACAAGTCTCGCCTTGAATTGCAGTGCAACTGTATTTGATGATGTAATACTGCTATGACAAATATGCATTGAAGCATAAGCTCAAAGATTAGAGTTACTCTAAATAAATGGTCAGATTAACTTTTTTGTCATTATGATTGTGTGGAAAGCATTAAATATAGATTAAATTTGGAAAATAGCTATTGGGTTTTATAAATATTTATAATACATTATACAACTCTTCTAATTCCAAAAATGGCAGCGTTTACTCCTCTTGAAGGTTTTTAAAGGTTTATCTGAGTCATTGATTAATTATGCTGCATTTTAATTTGAAACTAAAATAATTAGCCATTTATGGTCTGTTTTTGTAAAAAAAAATCAAGATTATGAAAGTGTTGCTAAATGCAGAGGTTAAACAATTTGTTACACTTTTTTTAGATTCAAAATAATTTAGCAATTTGTCAAAAAATTCAAAATAAATGAAATGGTTAATGTGTTGTAATTTAGTATGCAAATACAGTTACAAACTGAAATAACTAAATAGTCTTTATAAATTCACTTTTTTTTTTTTCATTTTTAATACTCAAACTCAAGCTAGTAAATTCAAGTTCTCCCTGAATTTTATGGCCTATTAAAGTGATTTAAAGGGATAGTTCACCTCAAAACAAACATTTGCTCACCATTTACTTACACTGAAGTGGTTCTAAGCCTTTAGGAGTCTCTTTTTTTTTCTGAACACTAAAGCGGATATTTTTTATAAAACTGAAAACTGGTATCCATTGGCTTCCATAATAGGTAAAAAACAAGTACCATTGAAGTCAATGGTTACCACTTCCCATTTTCATTTCGGCTTAGTCCCTTTTTAATTTTGGGGTTGCCACAGCGGAATGAACTTATCCAGCATATGTTTTGCACAGCAAAAGTCCTTCTAGCTGCAACCCATTTCTGGGAAACATCCATACAAACTCATTCACACACATACACTGCGGACAATTTAGCTTACCCAATTCCCCTAAACCGCATGTCTTTGGACTTGTGGGGGAACTGGAACACCCAGAAGAAACCCACACGAACATGGGAAGAACTTGCAAACTCCACACAGAAATGCCAACTGGCCCAGCCGAGGCTCGAACCAGCGACTTTCTTGCTGTGAGGCGAATGTGCTACCTACTGCGCCACCGTGACACCCTTTAAACACTGTTTATTTATTTATTTATTTTTTAAGTCATCAACTGTAATCACAAAAAGCTCCAAGAACACCGATTTGTGCACTATAACAACTTTGTTTGCCAGTGTCTTCCAAATCAGATCAGGGTGTGCATTTACTATGGCCAATATGGCCCTTGTGTGCTATACTGCTGTTTCTAGTTGCAATACGTTGTACTGCCTTTAGTAAACACACCTAGACAACATGACATGTAAGACATGTTCTTAGAGCTTCATATGATTACAGTTGAGCCACTACAGTCACTTGGAAAGTTTTGATAAAATTCCTGAGTCTTTGAATGTCTTATGACCGTTGCTATATATGGAGGATAAAAGAACCTTAAAGTATATTAATTTGTATTGTGATGATGGGCGAAGGTCTCAGGGGTTTGGAACATCATGAGTATTAGTAATAAATATAATAATTATTATTATTAGAATTAATAAATTAAGTAAATTAATAGAATTTACATTTTGGCTGAACACGCTTTAAAAGACACTGTAATCATATCGCTCAGAAAAAAAATATACATTATTATTGTGACAGCTGTCTGTGATTTTGGTTTCGCAATCAGAATGCACACTTTCTGCCTGTCAGTCACTTTATGCATTCACAATCACAGGCAAGAATCTATATGTGGGCAACCAGAAGCATGATTAATGAGCTTCGAATTGTTATGAGTTTTAGGGAGCAAAATGCCTACAAAAAACATATCAGAACAAAAAAGATGCGAACAGAACAAACATCTGTAAAGCGTTCATTCCTTTATTGAGCAAAGATTTTCGAAATGCTTGATGTTTTGAAGCACAGATCTTGATTACTTCTGCTTAACAGATAAAATAAGATGGTTTTGCCAAAGAGGCAGAATGTATGTAATTCGGTGGCTCTGGTGGAAGTAAGAGAATCTGCTTACATTGCTCACCAAATGTTCATTTTTAAGGTCAAAAAGTGAAAAGAAGTTGAAAATACACAAGCTGTAGTCTACTTTAATCGTACATCTTGATGCACACCTACATATTATGTGATCACCACAGATGTTTCTGAAATGTTTTCTTTGGTGGTCTGTTTTAAACTACTAAATCATTCATGTCATAGTACATTCTTTAATTTTGAGTGAAATATTTTAAGGCCTTTACTTGCACTATCAATTCAATTCAGGTTTTTTTATATAGCGCTTTCCACAATAGTTATTGTTCCAAAGCAGCGTCACAAAAGGTGGACACAATTCCATTAGTCAAAAATTAAAAATGAAGGATTTGTGTATAGGGTGGGTAGTATATAAACATAGTTAACTTGCAGTTATACAGTATATAGTGTCTTTCCAAAAACGTAAGGTCTATGTGTGTAATGCATGTTCATAAAAGTGTATTCGTTGTCCTTAAAGTTGCCCTCAGATAGATGGTATAATCTCTTTAAATCCTCAAAGGATGGGCATTATCTTTTCAAGTTCTCATAGAGTTGGCATCATCTCTTCACAGGCTTGGATCTGATATAACGGCACTCCACAATCCAAAGGCCTGGAAATAACAAATAAAAAAAAAGTTATTTGCACGAGATATTATTATAAAGTACAAGAATTGAATTTAAGAAGTTGAATTTAACTGTATCCTTCAATTTTGTGATGCATTGTGTACATGCTTTGCTAAAAAGATAAGTCTTTAATCCACAACTCCAAATCAGAAAAGGTTTGGACAGTATGGATGACGCAAATAAAAAATGAAAGTAGTGATTTCCAAATTTTCTTTGACTTGTATTTCATTGCAGACAGTATGAACAAAGTATTTTAATCTATTTCTTACCATATTAATTTCATTTGTAAATATACATCCATTACTGTCATTCAGACTTGCAACACATTCCAAAGAAAATGTGTAATAAGGTAAATTGGTTAGATAATTATGTGATTTGAAACAGGTGATGTCAAAAGGTGATTGTAATTATGGTTTGGTACAAAAGCAGCATCCAAAAAAGCTCTAATCTTTTAGGAGCAAAGATGGGCTTAGGATTGCAGGTTTGCTAACAAATATGTGAGAAAATTATTAAAATGTTAAAAAACAATGTTCTTCAAAGAAAGATAGGAAGACATTAGGATATTTCACTTTCAACAGTACCTAACATAATTAAAAGATTCAAGCAATCTGGAAGAATTTGAGTGCATAAAAGACAAGGGTGCAAGCTTAAGCCGAACAGCTGTAATCTCCGATCCCTCAGGGGGCACTGCATCAAGAATCTGCATTCATCTATAAACGATATCACCAGATGGGCTCATGACTACTTTGGTAAATCTTTGTCAAGTACCACAACACATAGGTCCACAATCCACAAAGTCCAGTTAAAACTGTACTGTGCCAAAAGGATGCCCTATGTTAACAGTGTCCAGAAGTACAGTTGGCTTCTCTGTGCTCGAAGGCATCTGGGATAGACCATCACACAGTGGAAACATGTACTGTGGTCAGATGAATCAGTATAGACAATCACACAGTGGAAACATGTACTGTGGTCAGATGAATCAGTAATTCAGGGATTTTTTGGGAGAAAAGAACACTGTGTGCTCCGGACCGAAGAAGAAAAGGATCATCCAGACTGTTACCAGCAACAAGTCCAAAAGCAAAGACATCCAATTTTGTGTCTGAATGAAGTGCATATATGTGAGCGAAGTGGAATCATAACACAAGCTACTAGTAGCTCACGAGCCACATTTTGGAGAGAAACCAACTTAAAATACTTAACATAAATTGTTAGGTTACCATGTTTTTTGAAAATTAGGTCATCCATTTTTCTAGCAGCAGCAGCTTTTTATGATAAATATATTATTTCTGAAAAACAGATCAAGTGTTTATAAATTTGTTCATAAATTGTTAATAAATTCATTCACCAAATTATGTCAAATGCATTTTGTTTATACAAATGTGTTTTTCCGTACTGTAAAGTGACAAGGCTGGGAGGGGTTTTGCATGCTTATGACAGCCACATTGCAATAAGTGATAACCTGCAGTCGTTACTTTAAAGAGCTACTTCTATTATTGTATAATATAGTTTTGGTGGTATACATTCATACGTTTGGGTTGATTCAGATATGTTCAATTTTTAGGAGAAACTAAACTGTTTCAGAAACCGTTTCAAACATCTGTATTAATTCATGAAGATATGTTTGCATAGAAAACAGATTTATGAACAAAATGAATTAAACTTTGACCATGAAATGTCAGATGCATTCTGTTGAATTTTTTTATGTGAAACTTAATAAGTAAACATTGCTTGTTTTAAACTACTGTGTAGTAGGTGATAACCACAGATCAGTCATTTGCAGAAATTTATAAACATAAAATGAAGTTGACAAGTGAAGAGCAACACAAACGACCTGTTCATGACAACTGAACTGAGTTATCGTAATCAAGCCTTAAGCTGATAGCAAGGTGTATGTAAAGGACTTTAACTGTGTAAATGATAGAGTTTCACATAGTTATTTGCTAGTCAATGTGCGCACAGCCAAACATTCATCTTAGTATATCCAGTAAACAATTTTCTGCTCTCTCTACAGGTCTCAGTGAGATGGATACAGGTGCTAAACAGAAACGCATTCAGCAAATTGAGTATAACGCAACAATTTGTGCACAGGTAAACACTGAAATGATACTTGATCATCAAAGAGCTCACTGAATTGAAGGGAAAGGTGCAGTATTACATGGTGTGTATTCCTGTGTGTGTGTTTACAGGAGCGTGTACAGTTTCTTTGCGATGCCGTAGGAGCTCTGGAGCAATGTCAGTCCTCTTTAATGCTTAAAATTGAGTCCTGGAGGTGGGAACAGCATCGATCAACCATTGGCATGCCCTTCAATGACATCCTCGACCATCTGCAGACATGGTGAGAACAATTGAAGCTTTTTTTGTTTCAGTTGTATAACTGCATGAATGTTATCAGCCAAATCTTTAGCATGTTTTCTCTCTAAACAAGCTGGGTTCGTTTATTGCTTTCGTTTTTTTTTTTTTTACGTTTGTCTCTTTTGTAAAAAAAAAATTTACAGAAATTCTGTTTGTGAATGTAAAAGGAGCGCATAGCCTGCCAGCGAATAATGTTTACTTTGAGCCACCTTCAAACACGCTGTATGTGGTTTGTGTTGTCAGTATTTGCTCAAGAAGCATATTCGGGCAACTTAACACCTTGTCATGTGCAATCATGTTAAAGTCACATGCTTAACTTGTGTACAATTTATTTTCACAATTCCTGATTCCAATTTCAATAACACTTTTTGACATAATGCACAGATTCAACACAACGACACACATTCAGATTCCTTTTCAGTTTAAGAAACTTGCAAAGAGAACTCATTTTAGGGTTTGTATGCTAATATGGCCTACTGTGTTTGCACAGAAAACTTTTGAATCTTCTTGCATTTCAATGGTTTCATAAATCACCTGAATGTTTAAATTGGCAAGACTTAAACTTTGTGATGCAATAGACCCATTGCACCAGTGACAAATACGTTCACAATCAGGTCATCAGGCAGTTCTTGAGTTCCGATATTGATCAATTCAGTTGTTCTGATTGCAGACCATTAATCACTATAAATGACTGATGATAATCACAAGATTATTAGGTGTATGTTTCTAGAGTAATTCACAATGGCTTTCAAATGCATGTAACAAAACGATCTACTTTAAAATTAAAATGCTACTACATATTAGTTGGCTGTGCTGGTGAACAAGGTACAGGGTTCACACGGTCATGGAAAACCTGGAAAAGTCATGGAATTTTGACATTGCATTTTCCAGGCCTGCAAAGGTTTTGGAAAATCAGGAAAAACCCTCTGAGTTTTGGAAAAGTCATGAGGTACCAATATCTGTATACTTAAATATACTGTAAGTTAGCTTGGCCTATCATATACTCTCACATTATTAGTGCAGAGTAAGCATTGTCTAAAAAAGTTTGCATAGATATAAATATAAATTTAATCTGAATAGATTATTGCTTGTATTAAAATATGCTGTTATAAATGTAAGCATGTATCGTTTTTCTTTTGCCAAGCATGTGTAGGCATTGCATGAAACATTAGGTCATGAAAATTTATTTGACAGTCTGGAATTTTATTAGTTAATATTTGCATGAACCCTGATGGTGTAACATGGTATAACATCACTGTAATGGCAGCATACCACTAATGGTAGTATGTAAAAAAAATAAATAAAAATAAAAATTGGTCTAAAATAGTTAAATAAATAAATAATAATATATTTTATTCATAATATTCTTTTCTAAAACTCAAAGCACTACTACAACAGAGAAATCAAGCATGCCATAAAGTACAAGGATTCAACATAGAAAAATTATTAACTATAAACAAATTAGAATGATCTAGAATCTTAAAATGCAGTTTGAAGTGTCTGCAGTTTAATGTGACAATGCGACTATCATGTAAACAGGCAGATTGGATTTATTAGGGTACTCCGTTTTGTACATCATTAAACTTGTGACAATGTGGTACTTCTCTGTGGTTTAATAACATAGAAGGAAGAGCGTGTGTGCAGACGCTGAAGCAGTAAACAACAACAACGGAGGAAACATGGAGGAGGAAAGTGGTCAGTCGCCACAATTTGCTTCCTCCAAAAAATAAAAAATAAATCCTGATCGGAGCATCCCTATTTTGACCATCTTCTTAAAGGTAGCTAGTGTGGAAGCATTTTTTGGAGACTAAGGGAGAGCATTCCATAACCTGGGTGCAGAAACAGAGAAGGCTCTCTTTCCCATTCATTTACTTATACAGGGTGAACGTATCAGCAGTTATTTACAAAGCTTTTTAATTTACAAATGACATACCCAAACAAGATTTTTTTACATAGGATTTATTAGGTAATAACCTGAGTGTTTAGAAATGGTCTCCTCTTCACAACAATTTACACCTTCTTCGTGACTATATGACACTTTTCTCTTCAAGTAATGTACTTTGTTTCACTGACAGACTGAAACGTGAATATGAGGGACATGATTGGCTGACGTTATCCCTATGTTTTGTCAAAAGTGATGCTAACCATTTTAAATGGTCCTTTACAGTGTTTAGAAAGACACTTTAGTGGTGATTGCTTTACAAACCAGATTATAACTGGTTGTCAAATGAACCACTAGAGTAGCATAACTATTTATCATACTTAAATCAACAAAATTAAATTCTTCTTTTAAGTTAAATCTATAGGCTGCATAAACCCAAAGTAAAGCATATGTTTTAAAATGACAGCTGATAAAGAGAATATTGTAAATGCACGAAGGGCAGCAGAAGTGTAAAATATGTTCTTTAAAAATATACTGTGTTCAAATCCTGTTGCAACAGGTTTGTCTTCATGGCTGAGTGTTTGCGTTCTTTGCGCTTCTCAAATGTCAGCGGTTTAACAGACTCTGTAATTTGTCAAATGTACATGACCTCAATAACTTAGCTTATTCTCTCTGTAAATGCATTACTTATGTTTGTTATATTTTGCATATCTATGCACTCTAGATTATGGTTTCATGCATTTCATGTAGATTAATTCTCATTTTAACATTCTTTTAACCACGTTGTTTATTACATTTTTGGATTGCAGGAGTGAGCAGTTGCTCATAGTGAATGGTAACCTGAGACAGGAGCTCATGCTGATGAAAGTGGACCATGGAGATGCTGAACGGCTTCGAACTTTGGAGGAAAACCTGGCACGTCTACTCAAGACTCTCATTCAGAAGTAAACAGGCCTCTTTGAGTTCATAAAAAGATGAGATCTCAGTAGTTAGCAGTATAATGTAATACTCAGTAGTAGTAGGCAATCATGCAATAAAAGTCAGCGCTGTCTCTTTTAGCTTTTGATATTGTGCTTTCTTTATCTTGGTTAATCAGTTCATTGGTAGTAGAGAAGCAGCCTCCCCAGGTCATCAAAACTCAGTCCAAGTTTTCCACCACTGTACGCTATCTGCTGGGAGACAAGATGGCCCCTGGAAAACCTGTCTTATTAAAGGCTCAGATTATCACCGAGGCACAAGCAAGAAACCTGGGTCAACAAAGTGTCATTCCCAAGTAAGCAGGCCTTCTTTGGTTTTGTTTTTTTAAATATTCACTTTATATATACAGTATATATTAGGGATGTAACAATATTGTCAATACCGTCATACCACAATAGTAATTTTTTTTCAATATTACCGTAGGCGCATGACTCAATAAAACTATATTTCTGAGAAAAGTTTGCTCAGGCGAATGAAGCGAACGGCAGGTAGCGGGAACTACAATTCCCATCAGCCTAGGCGTGGCCATCATCCTTTGCAGTCTGTTGTTACTACAGATCCAGTAATGCGGAAATGGAGTGTGTTGCTAGTAGCAGGGAAGAAAAAGAGCTGGAAATGATCGAACCTAAAGTGGGTTTTAAATCAGAAGTGTGGAAGTATTTCGGTTTCTTTCTAAAAAGATACAAAAAAGGAGAAAAGGTGACAGACAAAGAAAAAACAGTATGCAGGCACTGCCAGACTGTGGTGAAATATACGACTAAAGAATACGACTAAAAACAGTCATGGGGACTGCAGAACACAGCACACTTGTTAGATTGATGCAGACATTAACTTGTACCGCAAAGAGACCTCTATCTCACTCATGGCTTGTCCTCTCAAGTGGTGGAAAGACAATGCACAACATTACCCACTGCGGTCAACCTTGGCTAAATCATATCTCTCTGTCCCAGAAACCTCAGTCCCAAATTAGAGAGTTTTTTTCTGTTGCAGGGGACATTGTAAATGCCCAGAGATCCCAGGTTTGCCAGATTATATTTTTATGATAATTTTCCTTAAAAAAACCCATCTCTATCTAAGTGAGTGATTAAATGTTGAATGTGATGAATTTTCAACAATACTAAATTAAAACTTTTTTTTACATGGTTTTATAGTTTTTTGTTATTAAAATTGAAAAATTTAAGTTCCTGTTTCAAAACTTACAGAAAGATGGCTAATTTGTATGTCATTGATATGTTCAGTGCTAAGGTAAATAAGTACTTTTGGTACTTTTTTCGAGTCTTTTCATTAGTTTTCTTTTCCTGTAAATTACTCAATAAATACCGTACCGTGCCATTCATATCGAGGTATTACCGTACCGTGAAATTCTGATACCGTTACATCCCTAGTATATATATTAAATATTGTGTATACAAATGTGCGTGTGTAATATATAGGTATACAAATATTAAATATTGCATTTAAAAAACAGATTAGAATTTACATAATTTGTAAAGGCCTATATATACACCCTATTGGGGCTGTCAAATGATTTTGAATGCATCAGAGACCATGCCAGTGATTTTAATCTGGATTATTTGGCAATTAAAATTAAGGGTTTTAATTGTAAATATGCAGTGTTGAAATAAAGAGTACATGACCATCTAGTTCAAGGACACAGATTCTCTAGTTTTAGCCTATTTTCTTAACATTCTTGTCATTTATTATTTTAACGTGACGGTGCAGATTTCAGGATTCATTGATTCACTGCACTGCTTACACAAGAGGAAGTTACAGTATTGTTAGGCCTACTCACATTGATATCTAGTGTAGTCTCTAGAAAATGCAATTGAAAGTGCCTTTTTTTTAGGTTTTTAAATGTTGTAAATGCAGTTTATATATTCTCCTAACAATATTTCTGTCGATCGTACAGGCTGTTACAGTGAGGAAATTTCTCTTGTAGTGAATTTGAATGATTCCATAGTGTAATATGCCATACACTGTTAGAGCCCTGTTATACACCGGCACAATAAAGCGCAACACATGTTTGCCCTGACATGTTGCTATTTTCAGACCAGCGCAAGCCTAATTTTTCAGTTTTCCACCATGTTGTTTAAATAGCAAATCCATTTGTGCCACTTTGTGGACTCGTGGGTGTTCAGGTCTTGAATGGAGGTTTGTTAAGGCACATTGTTGGTGCTTTGCTATTAAAATAGCCTGTGCAATAGACCAGCTAAAATCAGGTCTAAAGTCCATGCGTGTTAATTGTGTGCCTCGCTTACACATTGCTTGAAACACACAGGGTTTACAGCAATACGCAGATATCTTTACAAATGAAAAAGGATTAAGGGATTAAAATGTTACAAAAAATTATTACTCTCTACATAAATATAAAAACGGGCGAGGCAGTGGCGCAGTAGGTAGCGCTGTCGCCTCACAGCAAGGGTCGCTGGTTTGAACCTTGGTTCAGTTGGCGTTTCTGTGTGGAGTTTGCATGTTCTCCCTGCCTTCGCGTGGGTTTCCTCTGGGTGCTCTGGTTTTCCCCACAGTCCAAAGACATGCGGTACAGGTGAATTGGGTAGGCTAAATTGTCCATAGTGTATTAGTGTGTGTATAAATGAGTGTGTGGATGTATCCCAGAGATGGGTTGCGGCTGGAAGGGCATCCGCTGCGTAAAAACTTGCTGGATATGTTGGCGGTTCATTCCGCTGTGGCGACCCCGGATTAATAAAGGGACTAAGCCGACAAGAAAATGAATGAATAAATATAAAAACCACTGCATTATGCATAATCATCTCAGGGGACTTTTTTCAGTTCATTCACATCAACTTGCTTTTGCATAATGTTTTTATAATTAGTAGTATTATAAATTATATGCATATTTATATTTGTTTTATTAAAAACAAGCTTATATTTGTCCAACTGTCAGGTTTTGGACCATATAGGGCATAGCATGTGCATTTAGATATTTTTGACCACACTTGGTTATAATTGTTTATTTATTTGTTTGCTGGAAATTAAGACTGAATTTAGAAATAGTTTTTAAACAAATCTCTGTGCTTAACAAACTAAATTAATTATGTATAAGCTAATGGATGTCTCATGTCTGTGCATACTCATCTGTTTCCTTACCCACCAAAGAGAGAAAGAGAAAGTGAAAGTAAAGGCCGATTGGAGGAGGCTCATTCTTTATCCTCATGCTGCAGATGATCTGTTTAACTGTTTTCTCGCAAGTAAAGCGTTCAGTTTTTCCACATACCAAGTCCGCCATGTAAATACCAAATGCGCCGTGGTTCGACTCTTTAAGGGAATGGGAGATGAGACTCTGATTGGTTTATTCTCAAAAACCGACCCATAACTCTTTAGGATAATAAGCACAACCCTGTTAGACCATGCACTGCGGCGCAGAGCAAATTTTCCCTCCTTAAAATAGCAAAAGTGGATTCAGACACGCCCCTAATGCTTTTGTGTTATGCGCTTTGGACTTTGCGCCTAGATCGTTAAAACCCTTAAGGGAAAATTACAAGTTTTTTTTTTTTTTATAAAATATGGACCCCCTTTTAACACTTTATTAACCGATGGATCATGCAACATTTTTTGATGTTTGAGCTTTCAAACCCTTGTTAGTCTCTTAAAATTTTGTTCAGATGTCTTACATTTCATCAACAATTAACAAATATGTTTGACCAACATACACTGGAAAGCTGTGAAATGCAAGGTACAAAAATATGTATTGACATAATTGAACATTGTTATTATTTATTTATTTGTTAAATATGTATTAATATTTGAGTTCATGTAACTTATTTATATATTTATTTTCACCTTTTTAACCATATATTAACCAAGTTTTTACTTTTTGTTCTGTTGTTCAAACAAAACCCAGTAAGTATATTTTGGACAATAGTGTGATATGCACCAAACACCCTTGCATATAAAGTCATAGACTACCGCATATACAGTTTGGCTGCGTTTGAAATCGCCTACTACTCAGTAGATACTGAATTTTGAATTTAACCAGACTACTCGGCTGTTAGAAAAGTATGTTCTATACAGTATGAATGTGAGCAGTATGAATGGAATTCGGACATACTAAATCCACCATTTTGTCATGATTACGTGACCTACCCGCATCAGTTGTGTCGCTTCACTGCTATTCATAAATTCTCTCGCGGGGCATCATGGGATAGCACATCTTACATGCCATGGAATGCGCACTTTAGAATCTCGCCGGAAGTAGTAATTCATCCGGGTACTTTGCGCATACTGATTTTTGAATTCTATGAATTCTGACATACTACTCGGCTCGCATACTGATTTTAGCGTACTAAATAGTATGGAAGTATGCAGTTTTGGATGCAGCCTTTGTCTCAAGTTATGTATCACATGTTTTAAATGAAAGTGAGAATTGATTAATTTATATTAACATTTTTACATTAATTTTAATTTTAATTTTAAATGCAAAGTATATCTAAATTCACATTAATATTAGCATTGCATATTAAATGCCACAAAGTATTAATTATTAGTAAATTATTAATTAATGTTAAAGAATGTTTGCTTTATTATTACATGCAACTTGTTTTGTTTCAAGAACGTCATTCACCTACATTGTTGAACCCATGTAAAACTGAATTTGTTCTAAGATTAAAGTTTCACAAACATACTAGAAAAACGATTTGTGAAAATGCAAAACTATCTTTATTGAAATGCATCTTGAGAGTATGACGTTGTCACTTTTGTGTCTTTGCAATATGTTGAAATCTGCCGGTACAAAGTGTCATACATGTCAGAATTTGACAGGCTTTGTTGTTGTTCTCAGACATAAAGAGGAAGTGGAGGCGCAACAAGATAAGCAAACAGAATCAGAGTTTCAGTTGAGCTGTTATCCATGCAGAGGCAGTACAACACTTAAGAGATCTAACATAAACATAAAACATGCAAATGCTTTACAATGACAATGTGTTTATCCACTTAGTGAAAATGTTGGAGAACTTCTTAATAGTACGACGATCTTGGAGCACAACACCACCAGCAAGAACACCTGTGCCACCTTTAGAAACATGGTGGGTAATAAATACAAAAAGTGGTTATACTGTTACCTGCCTCGTTAACGATTTTCTGAAAATATCTCTAAATCTATCATATTTTCCTTTTTAGTCCATAAGGAGGATCAAACGGGCTGACAGGAAGGGCTCTGAATCAGTGACTGAGGAAAAGTTTGCATTGTTGTTTACCACAGATATAACCATCACCGGCGGTGAGAGGCCATACAGCCTTCAGGTAGCTGCTCCCCTTGTTTTCCTTATATATGTTAATGTTGTCCATTGTTTCTGAGTGTCAGTCATGTCATCAGGATGTCCAATTAAGTTTTTTTGTATTTATGATTAGTGTGTGTATGTATGTATGTATGTATGTAGTGTGTGTGTGTGTATATATGTATATGTATATGTATATACATATATATGTGTATATATGTATATATATATGTGTATATATGTGTATATATGTATGTGTATATATATATATATATATATATATATATATATATATATATATATATATATGTATGTATATATATATATATATATATATATATATATATGTATGTATATATGTATGTATATATATATATATATATATATATATGTATATATATATATATATATATATGTGTGTGTGTGTGTGTGTGTGTGTGTGTGTGTGTGTGTGTGTGTGTGTGTGTGTGTGTATATAATATATTTATATATTATATTTTCGCTGTCAAGAATGAGTTTTACAAACAGTGCATGTTTGTAATGATTTACAGAGATTTTAGTATCTTTATCACCACAGCCGCATGTCAGTACAATTATTAAAGATGACACTTCAATCCCGGTTTGTGAACGTAAAATCAAGTTTATTTTGTATATTAACATAACAGATATCCATATAGCAGTGGATATTAACGTGTATTTTGTCACATTTGCCATGCAAAAACAGTGCAAAGTTAAACGCTCACACTGTGTGTATGTGGATGTTTGTGTGTATGCGAGTGTGTGATTCATCTTCACACAGGGTCCCCGCGGGGTCTTAAAAAGTATTAAAAAGTCTTAAATTAAAAAAATCTAAATTTATAGCTTTTAAAAAGTCTTAAATTTGCTGTTCTAGGTCTTAAATATTTTTGCACAGGTCTTATTTTTGCGATGTCCATGTAACGCTACATCTAATGCTCATTTAAACTCTTTTTGTTGTTGTTGCTAGGTTTTTGTGGTGTTGTAGTTCTTTATTTCACTAATCCAATTGTTATTTGCGGTATTACAACTACAAAAAAGTCAACTTGCAATAGCCAATCAGCTTTCTGATATTAAACTCTGTGCGCGCGGCTAATGTGACATCATCGCTGTGTTTGCGGAAGTTCGCTTAGAGTGCGCGCAACATGATTTCGGCTGGCAGAGTATGCCGTTATTTCACTGACAAATGTTGCAAGCGCAGTTTTATGAGTCAGGAGTGGTGTAATACGAGAGAGCGAATCTCTGCTCACGCGCCGGTTTCCTTTGTTCATGGACAAAACTGCTTGCGAGCTCTCAAAACACTGGCTACTCACATGCGAATGATCTGCTCTCGCTCCGTCGGACTCCTTTCGTGCTTTTCCTGAGTTGCTTCAGCATACTGTAGTATCAAGAATAGTGAACTGATAAAATGAAATACAAGGTAGTTTTAATACAGTAAAGTGTGTTGAATTGTAAAAAAATATACCCTATATTGTAATAAAAAATAATGCACTGGGTAGTTTGTTTTTAATACACTTTTTGTGTTACCATAGCAACTATAGTATTACCACAACAGAGTAATTGAAGTACTTTACTGTACTTCACAAAACACTGTACAGCAGAGACTAGTTCACTTTATTTTAGTGATAAAATGGGATTGATAGTGGGATGTATTTGAAGAGTGAATAGTACAGTAGGCTATAATACCTAATCAAGTTTTTACCTATTTTCTATCACAGTTACATCTCTGCTTGCCAGAATGGTCAATAATTATTGGCTAGAAATTGCAACAGCCATGGGAAAGTTTTTGTAAAACTTTGAAAAAACTCTGAGGGATAAGTTTGTTAAACAAAAAAGAGGCCCCCAAAAACATCTTTAATGATAATGATTATCTTTTTATTCGTCTGATTTTACTTTCTGTTTTTTTGGACCGCCCCCTGTCATTTAAAAAAAAATATCTCAATGGTGAACGTGTCAAGTATAAAAGCCTTCATCCGTTTCGTGAGTTGTGCGATGCGGTGCCAGGGGAAAGTATAAATCTGCATTAAGATATTTGTTTTTTCTGTTGTTCAATGGTGCATTCAACCTGACTTTACTACTGTTCAATTTAAATAACTTTATTTTACCCCTAATTTTGTGCTTTTACATTTTAATACTTAATGGTCTTAAAAAGGTCTAAAAAAGTTCTTAAATTTGACATTATGATATCTGCAGAGACCCTGTCACAGAAAGAGTTGAATGATCATTGGTGAAGTTTTTACTGTAGTATTTCTCACAAATGTTATGTTAGATCTGCTTCCCTCATGTCTGTCACTGTACTGTTTATCTACACTATGACAGACACGTGGGAACGGTGGGCAGGGAGAACTAGCATTAAAAGCATAGGCACATGGCACAAAAACATCTACATTGTGCTCAGAGCAGAAAATCTCAATATTCTGAAAGGTTTAATAAATAATCTGATGGGTGTTTTGAGATGAAACTTTACAGACTAATTTTGGTGACACAGACTTAAATCTTGAAATAGGAGTAAATTAGGTGCCCTTTACATTTTTTGTATGCTTAAAACACAAACAGACACAACAAAGTTTGTGAAGTGATTTATACATCATAATAACTAATAAAGAATAAGTAAGTTTTTACAGTCTTTACTTAATTTTCTTTTTTTTTTTTGCGTAAAAATAAATACTATAATTTTGACTCATTCAATGTATTTTTAGCCATTCCACAAATGTACCCGTGAAACATTAGTCCAATAAAATTCCTTTTAGAAATAATATAAAATTGGCTAGCCCTAAAACTTCACTTTCTTCATCAATACATGTGTGTGCCTCCTTAAGCTCATTTGATGATTATTGCATACATTTATTTAGGAATATAAGCGCATTTCAGATGCTAAAAAACCGGATGCTTTGTATTTGCAGAAATTGTAGTAACTAATTACCCTCTTCTTCTCCCAGAGCATCTCTCTTCCTGTGGTTGTAATTGTACACGGTAGTCAGGAAATCAATGCCATGGCCACCATCATATGGGACTGCGCCTTCTCTGAGCCAGTGAGTATTAACCACTTAAGGCCCAAGTTGTTTTTTTACATGCATCTTTTATTTCTATTTGCTATTTGGGCTTATTGGAACCTAATTAGAATAAAATCTAAGTATCATCTTTTGATATGATGTACTTTTAGAGGAAAATAATGTCCATATATGTGAACTCATGGTCTGAATTTACTGAATTTATTATATATATATATATATATATATATATATATATATATATATATATATATATATATATATATATATATATATATATATATATATATATATATATATATATTTTTTTTTTTTTTTTTTTTTTTTTTAACTTGTATTAACTATCAGAGAGTAAAAACTAAATAGGGTTTGGGACATTTCATATGCTGCAAAACAGTTGCAGGATGACACTGTATGGTATGTCTGTAACAAAATATAAAACATTCAAAGTATTTTAAATAGCCACTTAAGAGCTAAAATGTGCTGTCCACGTATGTGGCCACTAAACCCTAGGAGGTTAATGAACACACAATTGCTCTTTTTCCTGTTGTCAAACATATTTGTAGGCAAAAACTTTTTTTTTTCATGCATCTGTCCATTTGAGAGTTAATACATTTTGGCTTTTATAAATAGTTTTTTTTTCTTCTTTTTTTTCGGTCTAACAGAAAGAAAACATCTTAGTTACTGTTGTATGGGGTATCGCAAGGGTATTGTCAAGTACAGCTTCTCTTAGGTGTGGCCGCTTAGCAGAGTATATAAGCCACACCTGAAGGAGAACAAGCCGGGCTTTAACGCTAAGGAGCCACGCGTGGCTAGCATTTAGCTGGTGATTAAGCCACTGTAGCACTGGAACATATAACCTCCATTTCCTCCATCAGGGAACAACGTTCCCCTGCAGATCGGGAACTCAGAGTTATGTCAGAATGACTTTATGGGGAAGAGCATGTAAGGGACACAAATAGTTGAATCTGTTATACACTTAGCCGTAAGAGGATCATAACCTTGCTAATTGTAGGTTAGGGATATTTATGCTACTACAGTACGTTGGGAAAGGGTGCCAGTCTCAAGGTATAGGATGCTGTAGAGGCTACAATCTACTCAAATGGGGAGACCCTGTAACAAAATGCAAAAATGGGCTAGCCCTAATCTAGTGGAGCTCTACATATGAGCAAGTTAGCTGGTAGGGAAGACACTGGTCCATCTTATGAAGGACTGTGGCTGACTAATGCATATGGGATCACCGAGCAGGGCTCACGCATAGCAGGCACTGATCCCCAAAACTTTGGTTGACCAAGGACACATACCAGACAATGTAACAAGCCAAGAACCTGGCTCCTCCAGCGAGTTGGGTGTTGGAGGAACTCTCTAGAGTTTGCCAGATGGGGAACTACTAGCAGAGCAAAATAAGTGCACACATTCCTAGATTAGGGAGAATTGCACACCAAGCTTAGTTTTTCTCCTTATTGGCTGGTGTTACCAAGCAGTCAGGAGGAAACCTGCTCCACTAAAAGATTGTTCAATCTCATGAATGGGGAAGATGTCACCTTAGAGAAGGAGATGACACTCCATGAGTGTGCTCTCGCTCCCAGGGGACACGGCTGTCTGTGGGATTGATATGCAAGGGTGATGGAATTCAGTTCTTTGAGCCAACCTCTGTTTGTCTGCACTTCCTATCTGCCAACCACCATAACAAATGCTCAGAAGATCTTAAGCTCATTGTGCGGGCATAAATATGAAGGTAAAGTGTACAAAACAGCTCACAGCAATAAACGGACTGCATCTGCCTCCTTTGCAGACAGCACTTGCTGGTTTACTACGTGATCTCTAAAGGAAGTAGTACTGTAGGAACCTTGGGTGCATGGTTAAGCCGGAGTCTCAGGGTAACACGAGTAGTCCAGCCCAAATTCTAGGCACGATTTGCTGACAGAAAATCAGAGTGAAATGAATTCAGGTGAAGCAAACAGGACAACCTGGGGCTCCCTGAAATGCTCCCGTATCAGCTGGACTGCACTGGGGTGGAGTCTCCATTCTCCTGAGAACGTGAGCTGCAGTACACTTACTGCGTACAGGGCATGCAGTAATTTCAACCACGAGCAATTCCAAAGGAGCAGATCCGACCGAAGAGTTTACCTCCCAGGTGGTTGATGTATGCATCTGCTGCCTTACTAACCAGTATGTGTCTCCCCTCTCATACTGATTGAGACTGGTGGAGAGCAAGAAACTCTGCTAACAGCCTCAGGCACTAGACATGCCAAAGCTGCCGGAGTCTGGTTGTGAACCTGCAGCTACATGCTCATTTATATTACCCTAATATGAGCTATAATAACATGCATCCAGTTGCTGAGTGTAACTAAACGTCATACAAAGGCCACACAGTGAAGTGAAGGTCACTCAGAATGTGCCTGTTTGTCTTGTACATCTGAGGACCTAATCGTAAAGCCAGCCTGCTGCCGATGCCATATACCCCAGGAGCCTCTGAAAATGTTCCACCGTTTTACCTTCCAAATTTTGTCAGTTAGAGCAGCGTTAGCCCAGAGATCGAGTCCGGGGGAGAGCCGACTCCTCTCTTGGTTGACCTGAGACCCCAACAGAAAACAACAACAGAAAAAAAAAAAACTAAAAGAAATATTGAACTTGACTTTATCCAATGTTTAGATTGTTACACTAGAATTGTATGCAAATGTAGTATATTTAGTATATTTAATGAAATAATGCCTCAGTCTTTGAAATTCTTAATGTAATCAATCAGGGAAGTACAGTGGAAACATTTGTTTTTATTTTATTCACCTGCAGTTTCTTGTCCTGATATTTTGTGAGCAAATAGACATTGTGTGCCCTGTCCTGTAATGATTTCAGAACAGGATACCATTCCTTGTTCCTGAGCGTGTGTCCTGGCAGCAGATGTGTGGGGCTCTTAGCAGTAAGTTCATGTCTGAGGTCCAGACAACCCGGGGCCTGGACCCATTAAACCTACGCTTTCTGGGCCAAAAGATCTTTGATCAACCTGATCACCCTGGAGATTTCGAAAACATGCTTGTTTCCTGGGCTCAATTCAACAAGGTAACACTAACATGCAATTTACATATCGTATATGTTCATTAATATATTTTTGCATTTCATCATACTTCTATGGGAACAATTAAAAGACCAGTTGAAAATTCGAAAAGATTTAGGACTTATAGTTATTTTTTTGAGTAAAACATATTTTTCTTTATTCTTTAAATTACAGATGACATTACATTGTATTTTTAATAAAAATGGTTGTCATTTAAATCACTTTTGTTGCACAAAATATAATAAAATGCCATTTATAACTTCAGAAGATTTTCAAATAGTTGTGTATCTATTTGTACCCAAATATTGTCCAATTCTAACACACTATACATACGTTGAAAGCTTAATTGTTCAGCCTTCAGAAGATAAATCAGGAGTTTCAAAGATTTTACCTTTGTGGTTGGTTTTGTGGTTTAGTCTCACATATATCACAAATTTTACTCAAACTCATACCTTATAAATCTAAAAAATCTCTTATTTTTTATCTATTAGCTGTCTGTTCAGTATACTGACAGAACGCACAAGAATGAGTGTAAATAAAATCCTGTTATGAAAATTGTTTTTGTCATATGTTACAAATGAAAGTTGGTGTTTGAATGAAAATTCTGTGTGATTAGTTGTAAATTATGTTTAGTGGTTTTATTAGGAGTAGATAATATAATATATAAACTATTTTATAATTGTACATACTGACTATTATATACTGACAAATGAATTACTATATAGTGGAAATGATATACTGACTGACACTGACTATTATAACCTGTTTCCACTGGGTGGTATGGTATGGTTCGGTACCAAAAAGCACTTTTCACTTTTCACCACTTTTTCGGTAGCCTTTCCACACGGTACCTAGCACAACAGGGTACCAAAAGTCAGAGCTAAATGCTCAGCATTGTAATTGGTTACATTTCAGAGACTGTAAAGCTCTGTATGTGTTCATATGTTTTATTTATTGTTTTTATTTTATATAATCACAGCTGTTACAGTAGGATATTTTGCGTTATAATTAATTTGCAGCTATAATCAAATGCTGTTTATAGATAGCTTAGTAATTAACATTATACGTAAGTACTTATGTATATAAAGCATTTGTTTAGTAAGAAGTGCTTCTCATATGATATAAGAACTTTCATTGAGAATGGCATCGACTGCAACTTTCTGTAGAACACTACGCCTACCTAAAGAGTAACATACCACCAGGGAAACACAAGCCTGATAAAGGTGATTAGTACCGTACTGTACTCTTTGATGAACAATAACACTGTTCTTATCTTGTTTTATTTTTGCTTAGGTATTTACTTTTTTAATACAGTACAATTTAGAGCCGATTTTACTTATGTTTTGCCAAACATCTGTACTTTTATTTAAGTAAAACTGACTGCAGTATCTTTCACTTGTATAATTCATGAGTACTGTTTACACCACTAGTTTAGAAATTATTATTATAAACATCAGCAAAGTTTTGGACAAGTGGTGCTAGAAGGTTTGGGTTAGAGACTTCAAGTTTGCTTTGGTTAATGTTTAAAAAAGTGATAATAAATAAGTAAAATAAGTAAATATAAAGTCTTGCCAAGAAAATAATAGCATATTCAGTATTTTGTTAAATTAAACTATAATCTTGATGCGTAAACAACTAAACAATGAAGTCTTAGTTTCAGTTTCAGATTTTTTTTCTTTGGCTGGTGAATTGGTGTGAAGGATTATTTCTGGCACTGTTTTTTCACAGGAAGTTCTGCCTGGTCGAAACTTCACCTTCTGGCAGTGGTTTGAAGGGGCAATAGACCTAACTAAGAGATGCCTACGAGACTATTGGACAGATGGGTAAAGTTGCAATTACTTAAGTTTCTTTTCCAGTTTTAAGAGACAATTAAATAAGACTACATATTAAGAGAACTAGACATCTACCTCTCATTACCTGTGCAGATTGATCTTCGGCTTTATTGGAAAACAGTACATCCACTGCATGCTGCAGGATAAAACCAACGGCTTCTTCCTTCTGCGCTTCAGTGACTCAGAAATTGGTGGCATCACCATTGCATATGTGGAACCCACTGAAAGTAAGGCTGAAAAATTCTAATTACATGATGCTCAACAGATTGGCTTTATATGTATATATGTTTTTCTTATGTTTTACAAGTCTCTTGCTGACTAAAACCATTTTGTAAAATAATATAATTGTGTGTTTTGTTTTGTTTTTGCGATTATTGAATTAAATAGCGATTTAATTAGCAATTTTTTTATGCTCTATCTTCTTTAGACTATAAGACATGCTATAAATCCTTTTATTGTATATTAAGGCAAGTTTATTTATATAGCACATTTCATACACAGTGGCCATTCAAAGTGCTTTACTTAAACAGGAATAAAAGAGACAAGTATAAATAAAATAAAAACAAATAATATAAAAACAGATGAAAACAGCATAAAGACACCGGTGTATCATATTTTCTCACTTTACTCTGGGACTTTTCCATTCTGCTGATCACCCCCCTCTGTGGACTTTTTTGGTATCTATTAATCTATACACGTCTCCAACAATTCGATATTTCACCTAAGATTAAAAAGTTAAGCTTTACAGCTCTAATTATGTGCCCCCCAATTTCAACTTCCTTTTGGAAGTAAATCGCACAGCCCCTGATTTCTACCCCCTCCCGGGAGTAGATTGCTTTAGCTAGCCAAATGTAATAAAAGGTATTGATATCAGCCAGACTCCAGGGACTTTAACCCCCCCGCAACAGATTATCTGTGGCGAGTCATGTCTCGGATCTCACTTCTTGTACTTAAGCTGTGATCCCACAGAGACAGATCTACCAGTATGATGATGGCCCAGGTTAAATCTTTTACTTGCCCAATCAGATACAGTTTTTCCATATTCCAAAACACACAGATGTGTCAAATTTTCTCACTTTACTGTGGGACTTTTTTTTGATTTTGGATTTTCTTGATCAAACACAACATTTGTGCTGTGCAATTAATAATTATGTTCATTAAACAAATATTTCACTATCGGCCTAAATAAATATTAACCATTATGATTAATTATATTTTCATGTTTAATTTTATCAGTTAAAAAGTTGTAAGAGTTTATTAGTCAACTAAATAATTGAACAAAAGCTACCACTTCACTATTAAATCAGCAATAATTTACTTCAGCAAAATGCACATGTAAAGAACTGTGGAATTGAGAGCTTCACTAACCTGAGCAGTGCTGTTTACAGAATCAAACATTTGCTCTGTATCCCTTTTTGTTCTGCTTAGACGGAGGCAGGAGAGTCCAGAATATTCAGCCTTTCACCAAAAAGGATCTGGACTCAGCTGGCCTTGGCGATCGCATTCGGGACATTAGCTGCATCAGTCATGTATATCCAGGCATTCCAAAGAATGAAGCATTTAAGAAATACTTTACAGGCAAGTAACTAGGTCTTTTAAAGAGAGTGGCTCTCGTTCACAATCCTTAAGCAATAAAAAAAGGTTAAAGCCCATATTGGTTTTCAATACAGAAACAAATCTTCTTTCCCGCACTCTTCAAAGCAGCATTTGGTTAAATTAGCAGTGTTAGTAATTTTGGTTTTGGGGATTTAATTTACAGATCAGCTTCAAAAGCTCTCCTTCACAAACTTGATGTTATTTACTGTACCATGCAGAAATTATTTTTTTATTTTTTTATTAGTGTGCCATTTAATACTTATCACTGTCAACTATTCTTTATTGAATTGGCCTTCTCTTCATTGGTTTCTATTCGTTTACAAGTTTTCCTATTGGGAAAACTTCACTATATTTAGTCACATTTAGAAAACATGTCAAAATCTGTGCTCTAGTTGTTTTATTAATCTTTGTATGCTCAAAGTTCGCACTTTATTTGGTCACAAATTTTTTCCGTTTACTTCTGTGGATGCTTGGAATCATCTGCAGCAGACCTTAAAGCTCAACACTTTCATTCCACTACCTTTAAACATTCAATGTAGTTTTTAGTACAAGATCACTGTGCTTGTGATTAGTTTATATGTTATTATCTGCATCTGTGAAATTGTTATTGTTTTGTGTCCCTGGCGCTTTGTATCTGCTTTTTATGTTGCCTCTTGACCAGGTCGACAATGTACATGAGAACTGGCTCTCATTTGACTTACCTGGTTAAATTAAGGTTATTATTAGAAAAAGGTTATTAATTGAGTCATTCACAAACCCAGTTCACACACAACAAACACCTTACTAATTCACATTTACATTAGCCAGTGTACAATAATAAGTCTGGACCACAAAACCAATCATAAGGGCCAACATTTGGAAATTGAGATTTAAACATCATCTAAAAGCTGTGTTCACATTGAAGTTTGATTTGTTAGTATAGGACAATATTTGGCCAAAAATCTGGAATATAAAGGTTAAAGAAAATTTAAATAGGGTCCAGGGTCACAATTGTGCAGATTTATGTGTCATAAAAATAATTTGTGGCTCAATTTATGTGTATTTTCTTGTGTTGTGAAACAGTGCCCTCCGCTCCTAATGCTGATGGATACCTGCCTTTCAAGCTTACAACAGTTGTCAACCCGTAAGTATTTATTTTGCTGTAAAATTTCCAAAGATTTTATTTTATGTGCACATTACCATTTTTATTTGTTAAAGAAGCAAATCTGGGTGTAGAGTGCAGAATTAGAAAACTGAAATAAGTCTGTGACAAAATTGTGTTTTTTTTTCATGTTTAGAGGAGACAATAGCACCTCCACTAACAACATAACCTCTGAGAATATCTCTATGAATTTTATTTCACCATCTACGTCTCAGGCATTTGGGCAAAACATGTGAGTATTGAAGTAATTCTATATTTGTATTTTTCTATAAAGCCAGAAATTGCTGTGTAATTAATTTTACTGGTCTTCATTGTGCTGTCTAAAATACCTCTTTCTGCCAACAGGAATCAGGACATATATAATCAGTAAGTATGATTATATGCTGGAAATTCAATCGCATCAGTATGATCATGTAGAACTGAAAATGCACTAGCAGATCACAGAAACCTAGACATCAACAACAAGCTTTTGAGCCTTATAAGAGACTATCTTTAATTGTCAAACTTGTTTGCTGAAAGATACCTTTATAGTATTTAATTGATACAGTACATGTTGGGTACTGAACAAATTATACAAAAATTGTTTGTGGTCGCTAAGAAAAGACGACACCATGCATCTATTTCAGAGATGCCCAATCTAGAGCCTGCAGGCCAAAGTCGGCCAATGGTAACCTTTGATTTGGCCAGCCAACCAATCAGAGAAAAGATGGACAAATGATGGGGAAGGTTAAGGTGAATTCCTCAAACAGAGATTGTCATTTCTAATTTTACATAACATTTTGTTTGTTTGCTGAGCTACAAAAAAAAAAACTGAAATGAAACATTTCAATTTAAGTAAATTAATAAGATATTTTAAAGGGTAATGAAACTCTAAACACGTCTTTAAATGTTTACCGATATACAGTGCATTTGGAAAGTATTCATAGTGGTTCACTTTTTTCAATTTTTTTTAATGTTTTAGCATTATTTCAAAATGGATTTAATTATTTTTTTCCTCAAAAACTCTGCACACAATACACCATAATGACAATGTGAATTTTTTTTAAATTGTTGCAAATTTATTAAAAATAAAAAACTTGTACGTCAAAACAAATCACATGTACGTAAGTATTCACAGCAGCAATTGGCAGCAATTACAGCCTCAAGTCTTTTTGAATATGATGCCACAAGCTTGGCACACCTGTCTTTGGGAATGCGCCCATTCCTCTTTGCAGTACCTCTCAAGCTCTGCCAGGTTGGATGGGAAGCGAGATGTGCAGTAATTTTCAGATCCCTTCAGAGATGTTCAATAGGATTTAGGTGTGGTCTCTGACTGGGCCACTCAAGGACATTCACCCAGTTGTTGTGAAGCCACTCTATTGATATTTTGGTGGTGTGCTTTGGGTCATTGTCCTGCTGGAAGATGAATCGTCGGCCCAGTCTATATAAATATAACTAAAATATAACTCAAATATTTGTATCACTAATTATCACCTAGCTTGTCATATAAACATTCTGGCAAGGGCTTAAATTATAAGGGTAACTGTGATAATGTACTATAGTTTCAATTAAAATGAGATGTCTAATGAGACATGCAATTATTATGATGCCAGGAAATGCTGACTTACTAGAACTAAAACCAAAACCATAGCATCCATGTTAATGCTTGACTTCTTTACGTCTGTTCATTGTAACTATGTTACCCTTTTCAGACATTGTACGCCTTCATATAGTATGCCAGATGACATCATGCCTCCCCAACCAATGTACCCGACAGACATGTAAGTATCAAACACATTGCCATTTCCTGTAAATCCTTACATTAAATTAACGCCTCACCCAAAAATGTCAATTCTGTCATGAATTGCTCACCTGTCATGAAGGGCACATATTATACCCCTTTTTTTATGATTTAATATTATTATTATGGTTCCTCTGAGTGTGCAAGTTTAGGTTCAGTTCAACACACAGTTTAGATTTTTTTATTATAATGTGTTCAAAAGTGTAATTTTGGGGGCGTGTACACAGCTCGCTGTTTTAGGGGTGTGTTACTTCACATGGAAATTAGTTTTGGCTTCCTGCCCAATGTAACGAGGGGGCGGAGCCAAGAGCTCCCCTCTCTGTGTTTGCAAAAGACAGGCAGACAGAGAGAAGCTACAAGTGGAAGGAGCAGCATTATGCCATACATGTACAACTCGGACACAGACCAAGCAGAGAGTACAAAATCATTTATGTCTTTGTATAGTTTTACTGACATCTGTGTGCTAGTTGAAAGTTCCGAGCTTGTACACCGAGACTAATAACCACGCACACTGAATTAACTTTGACTGAGGCACCGGATGCGCCACTGGAAGCTGCGACACGCCACACCAGACACTCTCTGTGGCGCGGCAAAAACATGAAGTGTTGCAAATCATCACGCCACGCAGCGCCATGCATTTTAGAATTCATAGGTTTATATCAGGGTACACACAACGGCGCTTCAACTGCAGACTTGAAGCGCCGTTGTATGTACCCTGATAGAAACCTATGTTTAGAATTCTAAAATGCTAGCACGGCGATACTAGTGTGCAAACTGCAGGCAAGTTTGTTATTTTATTTCCAATGGAGATGCGCACATGAGGCAACGCGCTTGCACTTTTCCAGCTGCACCTAGTTAAGATCACAGGTAGCTTTTGTGATCGCGAGAAATGCAAACGGCTTAAGTTTAAGGTAGATGCAATGAAAAGTACACGTTTGCAAACCTACCTAACTAAAGGTACAAACAATAATTCCTTTTAGAGCGATAATGTGGAGAATATTGATCTTGTGTTGAGCCCAATGAGCCTTACATCTAAAAATAGAGCAAGGGTGTTTTTTTAGTAGTATCGCTTATATTTTCAAAATTAAAAAATGGTTGAACACTAAATCATCTTTATTTTTTTAAGTATGCCATAAAATATTTCAGATTCTCATTTAACATGTTTTTTTTTTTTTACAATAAAACCAAGATCAAGTGTAGTAGTGCAACAGAATTATGTTTTTTTGATTATTATTATTATTATTATTATTATTATTACTATTATTATTATTATTATTATTATTATTGTAAACCAGGGGCGGACTGGCCATCTGGCAATTCTGGCAAATGCCAGAAGGGCCGAACCATTTTTTAAATGTGTGCCGGTGAGGTTTTTTTTTTTTATGTATTGTTTTTACATGCTTTTACAAGCTTTTATCTCTTACAAGATGTGATATTATGATGATAATAATAATAATAATAAATGTTGAGCATTTGGTCCAATCGGCGACGGCCGGCTGGTTTCGAGAGGGGCCGACCCAATCTGAGGTTATGCAGACGTAATCAAAATCTAGCAAGAATGTAAAACAAACAATAAGTGTCACACAAGCTAATTGTCAGAGATGTACCGTAAAAAGAAAAGGCGGTGCCGAAAAGCTCAGGGAAAGAGTGCAAAAAGGGGCTCTAAAATCAGACGCTGCCAAATGCATAAAGTTCCTGAAATATTCTCGAACCTTCGGTGGCTGCGTCGGCGGCTAAGTCAGTATACTAAAACATACCAAGTAAATGTCTCGCCATTCATGCTACTTCTGACAGTTTGTGACAGTGACCTACATTGTGTTTAACAGTTTAAACTCCCGTACATTTTAATATGTCATTATGAGCAGATAAAGTGATTTCGGGTATACAGACTGCTGTATGCTACTAGGACTATATTCTAACATGCAAAAGAACCTAAAGCTATAGCCACAGTACTGTATGCATTTGTAGTGAACTCTGAATACATAGCTAGTCTTTAAACTAATACATTAAATACATGCATAGGTTACAAAACATAATCATCTCATTGTCAGGGAAAATGAGATTCAATCTATCCAGAATTATTTTGACTCTTTATTCTTTCCACAAATTTTCCAACAAGTACTGAGTATGCAAGTGCTAACAATTACTTTGGGTATCCTTGTGGGTTGTTGTGGTCTACAACAAATTAAAATAAACAAGTTAAGGAATCAGAAAAAACTTATACAAATAAAGATACTAAAACACTTCCATGTACAATCAACAAGGGGTATGAGATCACTGATTGACAGAAACACTTCAAAATAGAAGCTCATGTGAACCCTTTTAACACTGTGGCTCTATTTAAAAATAAATTAACCCTTATGATAGGAGCCTGTGAATGTGTATCACACACACACACACACACACACACACACACACACACACACACACACACACAAACACACAACTTTACACACAAATGGAGATGCAGCACTAGCAACACTTCAGCATAATTTCACAAATAACTATATATCATGAAGGATAAAAAATGCACAAATCTGCTGGTACACACAAATATTGCTGCTTTTTTCGTTTTCTATTCCTTTTGGTGCTACTGTTATTACTTAATTGTAATAATTTGTATACAGGGTTTCCGCAGGGTCCTAAAATCTCTTAAAATGTCTTAAATAAAAAAAAAACAAAATATTAGGCCTTAAATAGTCTTAAGTCCACTGAAATATTGTGTTGTAGGTCTTAAATAATTTTAAACAGTTCTTAATTTCCCTCTATCCAAGTAAAGCTACCCAATCTGGCCAAATCAGTTTTTTTATTGCAAAGAGATTCAGTTTATAACAGCTGTTACATTTATTTTCAGCAAATTCTCCAAATTAAATTCCCTAATCATGGAAGGAAAAATAAAGCAACACATCCCTTTACATGATCTTCCATTAATACAAAAACTATTTACCAAAGTTACCAGACCATTAGAAAAAATCCTTTGTGTTTAGCCCTGCATAAGTCTAAAATTTTATTCATAATGGTCTTAAAAGGGTCTTGAAATGTTTTAAATTTGATTTGAAGAAACCTGCAGAAACCCTGGTATTCAAATGTTAAGAGCAGTCAGTAAGAAAACATTTTGCTGCAATCTTTACATCCTATACTGTGTTTATTAACTAGGGTATTGCCAATACCAGTGCTGTGAGAAAAGATTGTTCGGTAGGCCTAGCAGAGACAGGGAGGAGTGTGGTAGAGGTAGAAAAAAAAACAAAAAAATGTGAATGTGTGTGATACACATTCGCAGGTTACTCCTATCATAAATAGCAGACAAATGGTATAAACAGACAGCACACAGACTTTAAATTATTATAATTTAGTTTTACTGTATGTATGAATTTGTTATAAACGGGTTGTTTTTTTTCTAGTCACATAAATTAAATGTTTAAATATCTATTACATATATGGTATTGCTTATATTATTTCACCATCTGAACACCAATATAAGTAGTAAATGTGTGTGTCCGTCGGTGGAGCTGTGTCGGTGTGGTCATGTGGGCTGGTGTGGCTCCAGTACCAGGGCTGAATTTTTGTCCCAGTCCGCCCCTGTTGTAAACCAGCAAGGCTGTGTGTGTAAACCATTAATTAAAACAGTCACTCTTTAAATGACTTTAACGGTCATTATTTAAAACAGTCATAACATGGTCAACAATTTGGTAGAGCAGGCAGTTAGAGGGTTATTGTCAGTGCGCACTGGAGTTTTGGCTCCTTGAGGCAGAATAGACTGGCTGTCAGTGTTTTATTTGTTCATCAAATGACAGAGAAAAAACATTCTGAAAATGATTCTGCTATTTAAAATGGTCTTAGAGTTGTTATTATAATGAATACTTTCGACTTTATTTATTGTCCACAAGTAGACATTTCTCTTTGGCTTCACCCCATAATTACATTATTATTCTCATCACATATATCACAAAAACACAAGTAACACAAATACATTTAATATCATTGCCTAAATCACATTTCATACACAATTAACTCAATTAGCTTTTAGTCTGAACAGACAATAAATAACAAAACTGACTTTTGGGTAAACAGTCTTGTTAATGTTTCGCCATCAATCACAAAACATCTGTATTTTTTTTTCTCCAACAGGCAGGTAAACCCCCCTGACGAATTTTCAGAAATGGAGGAATTTGAGGGACTTCTGTCATCTATCTAACAAATCACCAGCAAAGAGCTTTGCTAGAGGTACAGTCCCTCTGTTCTTGATGGAGAAAGACTATCAGATGACTTGGCGCTCTATGAAGAGAAACTCTCACCCTCTAAAAGAGACATTACCCTTTTTTCCCAAAACAAGTGTATCTATAAGGATTTACTTTGCTTAAATTTGATCGTCATTGGGAAATGATCACATGGATTGTTTTTATTCAGCTCCTGCAAAAACAAAAACACACTAAAGTGCAGTTTAGAGGACCAGTGTGTTTGACTCAGTAATCATAGTGAATACCCAATAGGCAATTGTGTAAAATTCTATGAAGTTTTCAAAAGTAGTTGCATTTTCCATTGCATCAAGACAGACTAAATAGATTTGACTAACACGTTTTACATTTGATGCAGAAAAAACATATATCAGTGTGTGTCACCAGATATTATCACAATTGTATTCATGAATCTAAAGATGAGATGCTAAAAGAGAATAGCATCACAGTGCTCTTTTATACTTAAGTATAGGTTTTATTATTTCTATGTGCCAGTTTTCATATAAACAGTTTTCAGTTGGCTGTTGTATTTGCATGAATTGTTTGGGACTGCATATCAATATTCAGTATTCATAAAATGATAAAGTCAGGTTTGGTCAGTAAAGCTGAAATCACAGTTTTATTAAGTGCATATAATTAGTGAGGTTTGCTGAACTTACTCATATGTTATTTAGGTCAGGGTTTCTTTGGGTTTCTAAGTCTTGATGCGTCTTTTCACAATGTTAAATCAGAACACAACATCCTAAATTCAAAACATTGTGGCATTAAATGTTCATGTTGGTTTTACAGGACCATACTCCTAAGTCCAATAAATCAAGCTTTACTGGAGAAGCAAAATGAAGATATGAATGTTTTCTGAAAATGAAGACCATTGAGTTTACACTTAAAACAAATCTTCAGAAAAAATAAGAACAGCGCACATATTTTTTTGTATTGTATTGCATAACACTTCTGGCGCTATTGTGGTGGAATACAGGTAAGTTTAGTGACAGGTTTAGTGGTAAGAGTAGATTTAGAGTTTCCAAACTCAGTTCTGGAGGGCCGGTGTCCTGCATAGTTTAGCTCCAACTTTCCTCAACACACCTCCCTGGAAGTTTCTAGTATACCTAGAAAGAGCTTGATTAGCTGGTTCAGGTTTGTTTAATTGGCCTTGGAACTAAATTATACAGGACACTGGCCGTCCAGGACCAAGTTTGGACACCCCTGGTTTAAGGGATAGTTAAGGGCTGTTTCTCAATTCCATGAATTCAGAGAACATGTTCTTGTGAAGACTGGTCTTGCCAGGTCACCTCGGAAGAACGACTCTGGAGACCGCAAAAACAGAGAACGCATCCTGTGAGAAATGAGATGCTGCATTCTTCTTAATGGTCACGTGACCTTCAGGCATTTAAAACTGAAAATTATTTAAACATTACAGCATTCATACAACCATTTATTGCTTTTTTTCTCCTTTTCAGTATATACAGTATTGTTTAAAATAGTATCAGTACAACATGACTAACCAGAATAACCCAGGTTTTTAGTATATTCTTTATTAATACATTGCAAACAAGTTACCAGTAGGTGCAGTAGATTCTCTGACAACAAACAAGACCCAGCATTCGTTATATATATATATCTTAAGACTGTGCTATTTTCCAATTAGTTAAAAGGGGTGTGCTCAAAAAAAATAGAAGTATGGCATTTAATCAGTGAGGTCTTCAATTTTGTAAAAAAAATAAATAAAATAAATAAATAAATAAAAAACAGGTGTGAATTAGGTGGGCCCTATTTAAGAATGAAACAGCACGTATTGAAGATGCATTTGAAAGACTAAGGCAAATGGGTCGGTTAACAGATTGTTCAAAAGAACAGTGTACTTTGAATAAAAAGTTGAGGTGCAAAAAATTATAGGCTGTTCAGCTAAAATTATCTCCAGTACCTTAAAATTGTAGGGCAAAACCTCCAGGATGATCAGTCTGGAGTTACCTCTTTTTTAGCAGAGGGACTTTCACTCGCAAAGTCCCTCTGCTAAAAAAATGTGGAGAAGAGGTTACAGTTTGCCGAAGAACAAATCAACTAGGCCTAAAGAGAAATGGAGGAACATTTTATGGACTCATGAGAGTAAAATCTTTTTGGGTCCAAGGGCCACAGACAGTTAGTGAGACGAAAATCTGAATTAAAGCCACAGAACACAATGAAGACAGTAAAGCAGTGGTCACCAAACTTGTTCCTGGAGGGCTGGTGTCCTGCAGATTTTAGCTCCAACCCTAATCAAACACAGCTGAACAAGCCAATCAAGGCCTTACTAGGTATACTTGAAACAACCAGGCAGGTGTGTTGAGGCAAGTTGGAGCTAAACCCTGGAGGGACACCGGCCTTCCAGGACTAAGATTGGTGACCCCTGCAGTAAAGCATGGTGGTGCAAGCATCATGACATGGGCATGTTTCTTTGGGCCTATTAATTGCATACCAGGGATCATGGATCAGTTTGCATATGTTAAAATAATTGATGAGGTCATGTTGCCTTATACTGAAGAGGGCATGCCCTTAAATTAATTGTTTCAACAAGACAATGACACAAATACACTAGTAAACTATCGATATATATATACATACATATAAAACCATGGAAGTCAGTTACAGGTGTCCAGCTCTCTTCGAAATATCTTCTTTTGTGTTCAACTGAATAAAAAAACACAAATCAGTTTGGAACAAGTAAAGGTTGAGTAAATGATGACAATTTTAATTTTTGGGTGAACTATTTATTTAACAATATTTAAACAAATTTATTCATTTTAATTCAGATTCATTTATGCTTGGCTAATAGTGACCTCAGCAGACCTGGAGATTATATTAAGCTGTATTTTAATGTATATGAGCCTAATTAAATATATATATAATAATATGCAGATATTTCAACAATCTATCGATAAACACACCTTGTGCTCACAGCTGTTTTTAGCTGACTAAATTAAAAACGAGTTGAAAACAGAGGAGAGGAAGTCTGCCTGCGTTTTTATATCAAATTTTTAGTGGACTGAGGCGGTCATTTAGTGATGTACAGTTTATGAGGTAATCGCAAAAAATGTTTTAGGGGGGCCGAATGGAAATATAGAAGTGCTAAAGGAGCGCCTATGCTGTTTTTTAATTTTACATCATTCAGTTGATTTGTTGTGATTTTCGAAAAACTCTCACGACATGTTTTTACACGTCAGGGGGCGAAGAATGGCGTAAATTAAACAAATGCACCCATTGCAACAAATTAAGATGCAAATTAAAAAATACATTTGGTAGACAGTTAAAGGAGACGCGAAGGCACAAAATTCACCAAAACAAGTGAGTATACCGAAGGCATACGCAATTATTGATCCTCAGAAGTGGTAATACCCAAACAGCTAGTGGAAAAAAGTAGGCATACTGAGTATAAGTGCGTATAGCAAGGACTACACCACTGATTCATAGGATTGCGATAGTTTTGAGTTCGTACTGTCAGCGACAGGCACTGCTATTTTTTGAACACACTCCTTTTTAAGTAATTGCCCAATTGCACAGCCTTAAGAGTGTGCATATCATGAATACTGGGTCTTGTTTGTTTACTGAGAATCTACTGCACCTACTGGTAACTTGTTTGCCATATTAAAAACCTGGATTATAGTGGTTAGTCAAATTGTACTGCTATTATTTTGAACAATACTTTATAACATAAACAAAAACGGTCACACTTTACAATAAGGTTCATTAGTTAATGTAAATAATGCATTTACTAACATGAACAATACATTTACTACTGTATTTATTCATGTTAGTTAAGGAAAATACAGTAGTTTATTGTAAGTTCATGTTAACTCATGGTGCATTAACTAATGTTAACAAGCATGTTAATAATGCATTAGTAAATATTTAATTATGATTAATAAATGCTGTACATGTGATTAGTTCATGTTAGTAAATGCATTAACTAATGAACCTTATTGTAAAGTGTTACCCAAAAACCTTACATATACTTTGCACAATACAAATAAATTAGATTTTAATATGAATTTCAGCAAATAAACATCCTCATTGTGTTTATGCCTTTATTAAGATTTTCATGGTTATGTTTACTTTTACCGTTTCATTTAGGGAAACTCCTGAGGTAAATAAGTTATATCTCTGAACTACAATAATAAATCTATATAAAATGCTATGCTTTCCACCTCCTTTATCCCATGGCAATGACTTCTGGGATGCATCCTCGCTATCAAGAACACATCCAGGAACTATTAAGCATCCCCCGTTCTTGCGATTTGAGTTTTGGAACTGAACTTAAGTGATTGATGACGATGTTACATGAGAACACGAGGGCGCAAGATCGCTAATGAATGCATATTGAGAAACAGCCATAGTGTAAGCAATAGGTCAACAGTGCAATTCTAAATGTAATTACAATAATTAATTACAGATGTAATTACATGCTGATGATTTTATAAGTACACAATAAAGGCATTGTTGCACCTAATTATTAATTTAAATGTAAGTGCATCGAAGTTAATGCCACTTAATATAAAGTGGGCAAGATTTTGAATCAAGCTCTGAAGTATTTTCTTTTTGAGTCCATTGGCAAATGTTCTAGTTTTGATCATAAACTCACTTGATTTTGATCTGCTTTTCAGAAAACAAGGCTTCATATGATTTAGCTTCTTTTAAAATAATTTTGATTCAAAAATCTTAAGATACTTGCGCTTGCAAACACAAGTTTGCATATCATCCAGAAGGAACAGTAAAGTTGCATCCATAATCTAGTTGTAAAAGATGAATAAATCTGAGGGACGTTTTTTGCTCTTTAAATCTTCATTACCCGATCTCTAAAGGGTTTTGAAACCTGCAGAAACCCTGCTTTAGTAGGAAATTATTATCTTCTTATTATTATCTCTAAGTTTTAACATTGCCATCCTGCAAACATTTCGTTACTGCATTGATGAGTGTAAATCATGTAAAATACATCTTATGTGCACAAAATTACATTAAGGATTAATGTCACATATCATACTGTCTCTGCTATTTTACAGTGTTCTCCGTGCATCTTTTTTATATTTAGTCTTTAGTACTACACATCATCAACTTTCCTGAAATTGAAACTGTGATGTTTGCCTTCTGGAAATACTGTTCTGTGTCTTGTATAATATAAAACTTTCATTTTACAGTGCTTTGAATAGGAAAACATCAAATGGGATCTTTCAGGTGCCATCAGTGACTTTCTGTATGTATTTAGGGGATTAATTCCGTATTGTTGTCTGTTCAGATGATTTTTTTCCTTCTGTTGCACTAATGGATGAATGTGCCAGATATTCA